AATAAAACAACCTCATAGGTCAGGGTTCAGCAGGGGTCTCTGTTGTAGAGAAGGTGGCGGTACTTTGACTGCAACCATTTAGGACAGAGCTAATTAATTAATGTCACAAAGATAATCAAAGGATTCCGACTTTGATGAGTGTTTGTCTCAACAGTGAACCCAACTCAACAAAGCAGAAATGGCTAAATATTCTGCAGTTTAAAACCTGTGCTTCTATCTTCAATACCTTGCATTAGTCTGCATCCCTGTTCTTTTGCATTCTACCCTTTGGTAGTTCACTGTGTAACCTTTTGGTAGGCTACTCCAACCCACCCAGTCAAAGAGCAGTGGACAGGTGGTTAGTTTTTACACTTAAACACATGCAGTGATGTGACCTAAGCAGTGAGTTTGTATTTGAATGCTCGAATGTATGCAGTAAATATTTCCACTCAAGCTCAAGTGACCGACTTCATGGCTGAATCACAGGTTGTTAGCATTGGCACACACATACTCAAGTAGTTTGAACTGACGCTGAATCACAGACAGTTAACTTCACCAGTAAACACAAGTTATAGCATTACATTGAGATTGGAATCAACAGCTAAACACATATAAAACTATCATACATGTAAGCATCAATAATACTATGACACGGTCAGTTAGTTTAATGCACAAACTCAACCAGCTAGAACCGTTCCAACATAAGCAACCATTAACTTTCAAACACTTACTACTCTCAGTATAGGTTAGCCCCGCACACATTTTCCAGCTCTAAACAAACAAACAGTCATACTGGAATCAAACCCCCTGAGCATTTACACTGGTATGTCTGTAACTATGTAACTTCTGACAAGGCAGGCTGAATGGCTTGGCACTGTCTGCTAGTGGCTAGTGTTATCTCTCTCCCACATTACAGGGGTATCTGTAGAGCTGAGAGAAGGGGCTGTGTGAGTGATCTACATGTCAGCAGCCAGCCTGTTGAGCCGAGGTCTGAAGAGACCAGCCAAACCTGTCAGGGAATTTGTCATCGATCCCTCCGCCTTGTCATCCACCTTATCTGATCCTGTTACATTTCTGCTTCCATCCATGTCCTCTTCATCCTCCATGTCCTCCTCTTCCTTAATGCCCTCCTCCTCCTCTTCCTCCATGCCCTCCTCTTCCTTAATGCCCTCCTCCTCCATGCCCTCCTCTTCCTTAATGCCCTCCTCCTCCTCTTCCTCCATGCCCTCCTCTTCCTTAATGCCCTCCTCCTCCTCTTCCTCCATGCCCTCCTCTTCCTTAATGCCCTCTTCCTCCTCTTCCTCCATGCCCTCCTCTTCCTTAATGCCCTCCTCCTCCTCTTCCTCCATGCCCTCCTCTTCCTCAATGCCCTCATCCTCCTCTTCCTCCATGCACTCCTCCTCTTCCTCCTTCATGCCATCCTCCTCCTCCTCAATGCCATCCTCCTCCTCTTCCTCATGCCCTCCTCTTCCTCTTCCTCAATGCCCTCCTCCTCCTCTTCCTCAATGCCATCCTCCTCCTCTTCCTCGTGCCCTCCTCTTCCTCAATGCCTTTCTCCTCCTGCTCCTGCTTCTCCTCTTCCTCCCATCCCCCCAAATTGAAAAATGGAATCTGTCCTCATGGGAAATGTAAAGTATGTACTAGAACAACAAAGAAATGTTAGAATTTTTTTAAATTGTAGATTTTCACCAGAGGGCTTCACGTTTTACGTCTGCTGTTTTGAGTACAGAATATGCTAATATTTTCTCAATGGCACCTTAGCTACCCTTAATAGACCATATTGTTATTTACATTTTAGTCATTTAGCAGACGTTCTTATCCAGAGCGACTTACAGTTAGTGAGTGCATACATTTTTTTCCCTTTTTTTTTCTTTTCATACATAATACATTGTGAAAAGCCTTAATATGTTTAATTGTACAAGGTTTGAATGCTCTAATGTTAAAACTCCAGTTACACTGTGGCCTAGACCATCTCTGTGGTGTAGGAGATGAGTCCTTCATGCACCATGTACTTGGAAGTGGGTTCCAATCACATGGAAACTATAACCAAACACCCACTCCGGCCTCAGCAACACTACTCCTGGCTCCTGGCATGTCCAGGCTACGTGTGTCTACAGTCTACAGTGCAGGCTTTATTCTCTCTGTCTCTGTGGGTCTGGCTTGGTGTCACTAGGTGATTTATATGACTGAGAGAGAAAGGACTGCTCTGGATATTCGTCCTGTGTAACCATGTCATCTTCATGTTTCTGGCTCTCCTCTCTTCCTCTCTGCAGTCTCTCTGCTGCACCGACAATTTGGTGGACAAACATGCAATCAACCTCGCTACAGACAGCCCCTTTAGTTAGGGCCGAACAGTGTGTGAGTTATGGTCTCGAAATGGAAACTGTGGAATTACGGGTGAGCTGCAGGGACTCTTGTCTGTGGGAGGAGGGAGGGAGGGAGAGAGAGAGAGAGAGAGAGAGAGAGAGAGAGAGACAGAGATACAGAGAAAGAGATGTCTACAGCCTTGTGGCACAGCACTCACTATAGAACTATACTCAACAAACGCCCAGAAACATTGATTGTTTTCGACAGTGTTTGTGTGCTTGAGCGTGCTTGTATGTGCGCATAAGTGTTTGTGTGTTTGTGTGTGTGCTTGTATGCGTGCGTAGTGTGTGTGTGAGGTAAAGAGGAGGTTACTGCTAGCCCTCTCACAAGCTTCTGTACAGGCCAATGGCAGGCTCAAAAACAGCATTGCAGGCATTCCTTCCTAATTGTACATTTTGTCGTCTTTTCAAAGAAGAGAAGAAGAAGAGGTGCTAGGGCCAGATACTGAGAGTCTTGTGATAGGCCGATATGGTCCAGCACCAACCTCCCCTGGGCTATTTAAAGGTAGAGTAGGCTATATTTTCCGCTGTGCAGCGGGGCACCCACCCTTCCGCCGGTCCATATTGGAACCAGATGCTGCTGGATGCGAGGCCCCACTAACTGAAGTGGACAGGGCAGATGGAAGTTGCTCGCCCTTCCTGCATACCACCCCCTGTTGGCTTTCATGTGATCGAAAATCTCTGCTGCATGGGTGGTGGTGGGTGGGGTGGTCCACCCAGCAACACATACACACATACACACACATGTATGTACACATGTACACGTGCATACACATGCACGCACGCGTATGCACAAGCTCACTCACCCCCCAGGTCCAGCAGCAGAGAGAAAGAGGAATTGTTTGACCTTTAGAAGATAGATGTTCCACGGCTGGAGTTAGAAGGGTTACGTACTGTGAAATAGCCATGCAATACTTATGACAACGCTGATAAGATTGGCATGTTTACTACAGTCCGCCCAAATGTTTACCATGGTCTAAAAAGCACGTGGTGTCACTGAAAGAGAAAATAGTTCAATTAATGTTGAAAAACACATTTATAGAGAGTTGAGAAATAGCTCTAAGGAATTGCTTATACAATATGTATACACCCATAATAGTTAATTTCATCATTTATAATTTAATCAATTTAATATATATATATTTTTAATGGCATTGTTGAACTTTTCTTTGTCTGTTTCCATATCTGTTAGAATTGCTACAAAAACACTACATACATAATTGAAGGAAGTGTTTATAGCAGCTCATAAACACTGGTTCCTATGTGGACACATGAATTCAAGTTTTAGCTACCGATTGGTTTAATTATGTGATAGTGTTCACAAGTTATTGACATTGTACTTGTGAATGGTAGGGACTCTGGGAGTGTTGTGTGTAGTGGGGCTTGTGTCTACTTCGAGTTCAACCAGAGAGTCTGAAACGTTCATCACCTGGCCCTAAAACACTGGCATGGCGCTAAGCCTGCAACTCTATCCAGCCATAAATTACTACAGCGCCTAGCAACCATAAGAGCAATTGTATGATGCCAGTGTGTGTGTGTGTGTGTGTGTGTGTGTGTGTGTGTGTGTGTGTGTGTGTGTGTGTGTGTGTGTGAGTGTGTGTGAGTGTGAGTGTGTGTGTGTGTGTATGTTTGTGTTTGTGAATAAGAAATAGACCTCCATAGTGTGTCCTTTGTGTTGCAGGTGACTGGTAATTGAGGCAGATAGGTAGGAGGAATTATGGCAGGGAGGCAACTTGAAACGCTGAACGGCTTTACACAGCCAAACGCTCGCTGTTTGGTAACCTAACACTGTGACACAACTGTGCACATATGTTTGCATTTAATGCAAATATGATTTTTTATTTATGTGTAATAATGTTTGATATTTTTACACACAAACATGGCCTTGAAAGTGACCAAAATGTGTCATTAAATACATTATTTTCAGTTCAAGTCATGTCAAACTGATGTAGGTGCAAATAATGAAAGAATCCTTTTATAGGATTTACAGTGGATTAGAGGCTGGCTGAGCACACCTTTCATCTACAGAGGTTAAAGCGGTAGATGTTGTCGGACTGTGAAGGAAAGGCCTGTGGATTGACAGGAAATGTCTTCTGTGATAGTGTGTGTTTGTGTAGCTGGACTTGGTTGACCTGCTGCGACCTCTCTGTTCAGCCTCAGCCCTCTCTGCCCGGACCAAGATCCAAAACAACATTAACAACAAATCTCCACCTGTGTAGATTCGGAATATAATCTGATCTAAATGCTGTAGCGTCCTGTAGGGCCAGGTCATGACTTGAAGAGTCTGTGGCTATAATAATCCTTCTATAAGAAACCTTTCCTGGCTTAGAAACTGTAAAATGCATTAAAAATATATTTTCTAGGAATAACCTGCAGGTTTTCAGATTGGGGGATTAAATCTGTGAGGGATTCGTCCTGACTGAGCCGTGCATTCAGGAACGAGGAAATCAAACGAGTGACGGACTCACACATGGGTTACCGTGCGTTGGCCCCTGAACGGAGGGGTTAAGAGGTTGTATTATATCTACACACACACACTCCTTGGGGGGTTAAGAGGTTGTTTTGTTTCTGCTGTCCGTGCCTTATGGCTGTGATTAAGAGAATGTCTCTGTCCTCTGCGTGTCCTGATGTTTAAATGTCACAGCTATTGCAGGAATGCTGAGAGGAGAGGCCAGGAGGGGTCACCACCAGGATGTAAACATCAACAATTTCTTTCTTAAATGGACTTAGGCCACTTGAAAGGAAAGGCCCCTACAGCAGTAGAAAGCCTGATCCAATTGCTAAAAGTCGCCCTGAGGCACCGATCTAGAATCTAGATTAAACCCTCCCTAAATCCTAAACTTAACCATTAGGGCGGAAAATGCCAAACTGACCATGAATCAGCATCTAGGGACAGCTTCATCCTATATATACTCCGTGGGCGGTTGGCGATTGCCCATGCGGTCAGGGATTGGGAGAGGGGCTTTACCCTGAGATGGCTATCAGAACAGTCAGGGTTTAACACCCTCTCTGGAGCAGGGCCATGGCAGGGAGCGGACAATAGATCCTTTGTGACTATCTGATCATCACAAACACACTAAATGGGTAAGTCAATGTGGGGGGTAAAGAAAAAGGCTCTCAGTCACAACTGAACGTTTTTTGGCTTCATGTCGAGCTGTCGGTTTTCAGAATGCGAAGTGGATGTTGTTTGAGCTCAAAACAGGGTTTAGTGTTGTACCAGCGATTTACAACTGTAACTTTCATTAATCCTTTATTTAGCCAGACAAATCATTGAGAACAAGTTCTCTTTTACAATTACCACCTGGTAAAAGTTAGATGACTGTCAGTATTGTTGTAATGACCATAAAACATTTGCTCCCCCCACATTCAATAGGCACTAAACAGCTAAAAACATTTTGAAATAGAGTGAAAAGGGGAGGTACTACCTGATCTACTGAACCTGACCCTGTTGACATGGTTTGAATCAACCATACATACTGACCCTAGTCCTCTGGGGATGGTTTGTAATGATGCAGATATAGAAATTCTGACAAGGCCCTGACACTTGATATGTTGGTCAACTCCCCGGCGCTCCGTGTTAGGTTTACCAAACCATAAACATTGTGTCCGTAGGGACTTGTTGCACTATGAGAAAGCCCAGGACATAGACTGGCAGCCTAGTATACTGCTATGGACCTTCAGCCCCATCTACTGTTGCATTACACACTACAGTGACTTGCAAAAGTATTCATCCCCCTTGGCGTTTTTCCTATTTTGTTGCATTACAACCTGTAAATTGATTTTTATTTTGGATTTCATGTAATGGACATACACAAAATAGTGAAATTATTATTTTTTTTTATTCTAAAAAATAAATAATGGAAAAGTGGTGCGTGCATATCTATTCACCCCCTTTGCTATGAAGCCCCTAAATAAGATCTGGTGCAACCAATTACCTTCAGAAGTCACATAATTAGTTAAATAAAGTCCACCTGTGTGCAATCTAAGTGTCACATGATCTGTCACATGATCTCAGTATATATACACCTGTTCTGAAAGGCCCCAGAGTCTGCAACACCACTAAGCAAGGGGGCACCACCAAGCAAGCGGCACCATGAAGACCAAGGAGCTCTCCAAACAGGTCAGGGACAAAGTTGTGGAGAAGTACAGATCAGGGTTGGGTTATAAAAAAATATCTGAAACTTTGAACATCCCACAGAGCACCATTAAATCCATTATTAAAAAATTGAAAGAATATGGCACCACAACAAACCTGCCAAGAGAGGGCCGCACACCAAAACTCACGGACTAGGCAAGGAGGGCATTAATCAGAGGCAACAAAGAGACCAAAGATAACCCTGAAGGAGCTGCAAAGCTCCACAGCGGAGATTGGAGTATCTGTCCATAGGACCACTTTAAGCCATACTCTCCACAGAGCTGGGCTTTATGGAAGAGTGGCCAGAAAAAAGCCATTGCTTAAAGAAAAAAATAAGCAAACACGTTTGGTGTTCGTTAAAAAGCATGTGGGAGACTCCCCAAACATATGGAAGAAGGTACTCTGGTCTGATGAGACTAAAATTGAGCTTTTTGGCCATCAAGGAAAACGCTATGTCTGGTGCAAACCCAACACCTCTCATCACCCCGAGAACACCATCCCCACAGTGAAGCATGGTGGTGGCAGCATCATGCTGTGGGGATGTTTTTCATCGGCAGGGACTGGGAAACTGGTCAGAATTGAAGGAATGATGGATGGCGCTAAATACAGGGAAATTCTTGAGGGAAACCTGTTTCAGTCTTCCAGAGATTTGAGACTGGGACGGAGGTTCACCTTCCAGCAGGACAATGACCGTAAGCATTCTGCTAAAGCAACACTCGAGTGGTTTAAGGGGAAACATTTAAATGTCTTGGAATGGCCTAGTCAAAGCCCAGACCTCAATCCAATTGAGAATCTGTGGTATGACTTAAAGATTGCTGTACACCAGCGGAACCCATCCAACTTGGGGGGGGGGGGATGCACGCTCAAGTTCTGTTTTTTTTGTGTTATTTCTTGTTTGTTTCACACACAAAAAATATTTTGCATCTTCAAAGTGGTAGGCATGTCGTGTAAATCAAATGATACAAACCCCCCAAAAATCAATTTTAATTCCAGGTTGTAAGGCAACAAAATAGGAAAAATGTCAACGGGGGTGAATACTTTCGCAAGCCACTGTACCAGGTAGAGGCTGGCCTTAAACACAGATCTAGGATCAGGTCATGATCCAGAATTCAACCCAAAACCATAAGGTAAGGAAACCTCAAACTGATTTTAGATCAGTGTGTGGGAGCAATGTGGCTCACAGATACACTGTATCACGAATTCAGCCGAGGCTGCCCCTCCTCCTTGCTCGGGCAGGCTTCGGTGTTCGTCGTCATCAACGGAGGGGAGAGCGGCGGGTGAGCGTCTATTCCACCTCAGACAGGGGAAGAGGAGCGCACAGGATTTTGCACTGGACTTTAGGACTCTGGCTGCGAGCGTAGGATGGAATGAGAGGGCCCTTATCGACCACTACCGATGCAGCCTAAGGGAGGACGTTCGTCGGGGACTGGCCTGCAGGGACACCAACCTTAACCTGGACCAACTGGTGGATATGTCAATCAGGCTGAATAACCTGTTGGCCACCCGCGGACGTCCGGATCAGGAGCCGTCCATTCCATCCCCCAGCCCCTCCGACCCTACCCCTATGGAGCTCGGAGGTGCTGCTCTTAGGGAGACCGGTAGAGGGGCCGTCCCCTGCACCAACTGTGGCCGCAGAGGACACACTGCTGGTCGGTGCTGGGGAGGGTCTTTAAGGAGTCGAGGCAGTAGACAGAGCACTGGTGGACCGTTTCAGGTGAGTAGGCACCCGACTCACCCAGAGCTTCCTGTTGCGCTTATGTGTATAGATGTTGTATTTCCAGAGTTTTTTCCTCATTCCCAGCATAAGACGCTAGTAGATTCAGGCGCAGCTGGGAACTTTATTGATCGTCAGTTTTCCCGTAGTTTAGGGATTCCTATTGTGCCCTTCCCTATACATGCCCTAGATAGTCGCCCTTTAGGGTCAGGTCTGATTAGGGAGGTCACAGCTCCACTCTGGATGAAGACGCAGGAGGGTCATGAGGAAAAAATGTGTCTCTATCTGATTGATTCTCCTGCGTTTCCAGTGGTGTTGGGGCTTCCCTGGTTAACCTCTCATGACCCCACTATTTCATGGCAACAGAGGTCTCTCAAGGGATGGTCAAGTCAGTGCTCGGGGAGGTGTGTAGGTGTTTCCGTAGGGGCAACTACGGTGGAAAGTCCAAACCAGGTTTCCACCATGCACATTCTGCCTGAATATGCTGATTTGGCTCTCGCCTTCTGTAAAAAGAAGGTGACTCAATTACCACACCATCGACAGGGGGATTGTGCGATAAACCTCCAGGTAGGCACTGCACTTCCCCGGAGTCACGTGTATCCTCTGTCACAGGAGGAGACGGCGGCTATGGAAACATATGTCACCGAATCTCTGAGGCAGGGATACATTCGGCCTTCCACTTCCCCTGTCTCCTCAAGTTTCTTTTTTGTGAAGAAGAAGGATGGTGGCTTACGCCTGTGCATTGACTACCGTGGTCTTAATCAGATCACTGTGAAGTACAGCTATCCACTACCTCTGATTGCTAGTATGACGGAGTCATTGCACGGGGCGCGCTTCTTCACTAAATTGGATCTCAGGAGCGCGTACAACCTGGTGTGTATCCAGGAGGGAGATGAGTGGAAGACAGCATTCAGTACCACCTCTGGGCACTATGAGTACCTCGTCATGCCATACGGGTTGATGAATGCTCCATCAGTCTTCCAATCCTTTGTTGATGAGATTTTCAGGGACCTGCATGGACAGGGTGTAGTGGTGTATACTCCGCTACACGGGCCGCGCATGTGTCTCTGGTGCGTCAGGTGCCTGAGGATATTGGATCGGATCGGGGTCCCCAGTTCACCTCAAGGGTCTGAAGGGTGTTCATGGAACGTCTGGGGGTCTCGATCAGCCTGACCTCAGGTTTTCACCCCGAGAGTAATGGGCAGGTGGAGAGAGTTAACCAGGATGTGGGTAGGTTTCTGCGGTCCTATTGCCAGGACCGGCCGGGGGAGTGGTCGGGTTTTATCCCCTGGGCAGAGATGGCCCAAAACTCACTCCGCCACTCATCCACTAACCTTTCTCCCTTTCAGTGTGTGTTAGGTTATCAGCCAGTCCTGGCACCTTGGCATCAGAGCCAGATCGAGGCTCCTGCGGTGGATGAGTGGTTTCACCGCAGTGAGGCCCCGGTGTATGCATCAGGGGACCGGGTCTGGCTCTCGACCCGAAACCTGCCCCTTCGCCTGCCCTGCCGGAAGCTGGGTCGGCGGTTTGTGGGGCCATTTAAAGTCCTGAGGAGATTGAACGCAGTTTGTTATAGGTTACAGATTCCTCCTAATTACCGTATGAACCCCTCGTTCCATGTGTCTCTCCTCAGGCCAGTAGTAGCTGGTCCACTCCAGGAGTCTGAGGTACGGGAGGTTCCTCCGCCCCCACTGGACATCGAGGGGGCACCGGCGTACTCGGTCCGTTCCATCTTGGATTCGAGACGTCAGGTGGGGGGCCTGCAGTATCTCGTGGAGTGGGAGGGGTACGGTCCGGAGGAACGGTGCTGTGTCCCTAGGAGGGACATCCTCGATCCCTCCATGTTGAGGGATTTCCACCGTAGTCATCTGACTCGCCCTGCTCCTCGTCCTCCTGGCCGTCCCCGAGGCCGGGGTCAAGGGGGGGGTACTGTCACAAATTCAGCCGAGGCTGCCCCTCCTCCTTGCTCGGGCAGGTTTCGGCATTCGTTGTCACCGGAGTACTAGCTGCTACCGATCCATGTTTCTATGTTCTACTTGTTTTGTCTGTATTGGTCTCACCTGTTTCCCATCATGTAATATTGTCTTCCCTATTTAACCCTCTGGCTCACACTGTGTGTTGTGCATGTTTGTCCATGTTTTGGTTGTCGTATGTGAGCGGGTTTGTTCCTCCCTGCATGGAGGTATGTTCATTGAGATACCTACGAGTAAAGTATGTTTTTTGATCAGCTCTATGTCCTGCGCCTGACTTCGTCCTACCGCATTACACTGATGCCTTGACACACTGCTAACTGACTCCACTTCCTTAAAGGGGCAATCTGCGACTCAAACAATAACAACAACAACAACAATTTACCAAGCCCAGATTTCCCCTTTCAAGGGATAGTTCAGGATTTTGGCAACGAAGCCCTTTATCTACTTCCCCAGAGTCAGATGAACTCGTGGATACCAGTTTTATGTCTCTGCGTCCAGTATGAAGGAAGTTAGAGGTAGTTTCGCAATCTAAGCTAGTTAGCATTGGCTCGCGAATCTACCTCTAACTTCCTTCAAACTGGACGCAGAGACATAAAAATGGTATCCACGAGTTCATCTGACTCTGGGGGAGTTAGAGGTAGTTACCAAAATCCCGAAGTATCCCTTTAATGTGTTATCACTGTATTTCATCTAATAGCACAACCAAATGACCTGAATTGCCCGTTGAGATTACATTAAAAGTACATAGTGCAAATGATCAATGCTGTTCTGCACAGATTATTACAGCAATTGTGAAGATCTCCACAGACCTGCAACCTTTGCATGCTATCTTGAACATGCATGCTTTCAATGATTACATAAGAAGACATTTATAGTTTATACATTGACTAAATTGAACTATCCCTTTAAGAAGAGACATTCTTTAAGGTTCAAAAATAAGTTATGGACTACGTTTTATTCTCCTATTATGAGATTGTTGATGACGTCAGAAAGCAGAGAGTGAAATTCCCACAGCTGCGGCTGCTGTCCCAGGCCAGGTGAGTGTCTCAGGACAGATGTGTACTGTATTGTAGTCAGGGTAGATAGGTGTCTGTCTACATCAAGATGTAGCTGTGAATGACCTCTGTGTGATCTGAGAGTTTCACTACCCTCAGGGGCACTTCCTATCTTTAGATACATGTGCATATCTTGGGACTTCAGGGCAAATGATTTACTAATTGAAGTCAATTGGAGATCCTTCAGCTGCTGCGATGTGTGAAAATGTGTGTTGTGAAAATATGCCTGTGTAACTGAACAGAAAGATTAATAATGCTTAAAATACGAAGGATCCCCCTAAAAAAACTAAATACTTGATATATTGACTTCATGCCCAAAAGTTCTATTGAAATCCATATGTGCATTACACACGCAGATTTAAGGTTGGATTGGTCAATCAGAGAGTTGAACAGCAACAGCCCCAGCTCCTTGTACCTTCTGAGCTGAGCAGTGTGACCTGAGTTAGTCACAGGTCAGAGGTTCCTCGCCCCCGTGCCTTCCTTCCTTCTACTGCCCGGTAGTCCTGTTTGCGTTCTCTCTCTCTCTCAAAGTGGTGTTCAGGTAATCTTAATGACTACTAATAATACAAACCCTCACACATCTCCCTCTGTTTATACTGCATGTAACAGCATGGACTGACTGAGACCTGTGTGTGTGTGTGCGCGTGCTCCGTGTGTTCTCTTTCATTCCTTCTCCCACCCCCTATTTCCTTCAGTTCTGAAGTCTATAGCCTGAAGGTAAGAACTCCTACCAGGTTTTTTCTAGGTAAATCTGAGATAAGACAATAGGATCTGTAGAGGTGTCTTGTTACAGACAGAGAGAGGCAGAGCAGGGTCCAGACACTGTAAACCTCTCCTGTCTCACCCACAAGGTCGCCTCCACACACCAGGTTGGAAAAATGCTACAAAATACATTGTCTTTCATGCAAGCAGCATTGGGGACCAAAAAACGTTCAGCATTTGCCCCCAAACTCATAATTTCACTTGAACTGTGCCGGGTTGGTTGCAGCTCTGCAAGCTGTTAAGTTTTCGATGTATCATTTTCAAGTGCACATGGTCCATGTTATGCTAGTCACTGAGGAAGAGTTAATGGACAGTGAAGTTATTGAAGAGAGAGAGAGAGAGAGAGAGAGGGGGGGGGGGGGGGGGGGGTCCAGATTTTTCAGCTCTTTCAGAACATCAGCTGTTAGTGGGGGGGGGGGGGGGGGGGGAGATTAGCTGGCTACCACTACCCCGGCCACCAGCTCTGCACCCTCAGCTGCAACTTGCCCATGCCCCCCCCCCCCCCCACTAACAGCTGAAAGAGCTGAAAAGAGCTGAAAAATGTTCTGAAAGAGCTGAAAAATCTGGACCCCTACAAATCAGCTGGGCTAGACAATCTGGACCCTTTCTTTCTCAAATTAGCCGCCAAAATTGTCGTAACCCCTATTACTAGCCTGTTCAACCTCTCTTTCGTAACGTCTGAGATCCCCAGAGATTGGAAAGCTGCCGCGGTCATCCCCCTCTTCAAAGGGGGTGACACTCTAGATCCAAACTGTTACAGACCTATATCCATCCTGCCCTGCCTTTCGAAAGTATTTGAAAGCCAAGTTAACAAAGAGATCACCAACCATTTCGAATCCCACCGTACCTTCTCCGCTATGCAATCCGGTTTCCGAGCTGGTCATGGGTGCACCTCAGCCACGCTCAAGGTCCTAAACGATATTATAACCGTGATCGATTAAATACAGTACTGCGCAGCCGTCTTCATCGACCTGGCCAAGGCTTTCGACTCTATCAACCACCGCATTCTTATTGGCAGACTAAATAGCCTTGGTTTCTCAAATGACTGCCTCGCCTGGTTCACCAACTACTTCTTAGATAGAGTTCAATGTGTCAAATCGGAGGGCCTGTTGTCTGGACCTCTGGCAGTCTCTATGGGGGTGCCACAGGGTTCAATTATCGGGCCGACTCTATTCTCTGTGTATATCATGTCGCTCTTGCTGCTGGTGACGCTCGGATCCACCTCTATGCGGACGACACCATTTTGTATACATCTGGCCCTTCATTGGACACTGTGTTAACAAACCTCCAAACGAGCTTCAATGCCATACAACACTCCTTCCGTAGCCTCCAACTGCTCTTAAACACTAGTAAAACTAAATGCATGCTCTTCAACCGAACACTGCTTGCACCCGCCCACCCGACTAGAATCACTACTCTCGGCAGGTCTGACCTAGAGTATGTGGACAACTACAAATACCTAGGTGTCTGGTTAGTCTGTAAACTCTCCTTCCAGACTTACATTAAGCATATCCAATCAAAAGTTAAATCTAGAATCGGCTTCCTATTTCGCAACAAAGCCTCCTTCACTCATGCTGCCAAACATGCCCTCGTAAAACTGACTATCCTACCGATGCTTGACTTCGGCGATGTCATTTACAAAATAGCTTCCAACACTCTACTCAGCAAATTGGATGTAGTCTATCACAGTGCCATCCGTGTTGTCACCAAAGCCCCATATACTACCCACCATTGTGACCTGTACGCTCTTGTTGGCTGGCCCTCACTACATATTCGTCGCCAAACCCACTGGCTCCAGGTCATCTATAAATCACTGCTAGGCAAATCCCAGTCTTACCTTAGCTCACTGGTCACCATAGCAACACCCACCCGTAGTCTACGCTCCAGCAAGTATATCTCACTGGTCATCCCCAAAGCCAACACCTCCTTTGGCCGCCATTCCTTCCAGTTCTCTGCTGCCAATGACTGGAACGAACTGCAAAAATATCTGAAGTTGGAGACTCTTATCTCCCTCACTAACTTTAAGTGTCAGTTGTCAGAGCACCTTACCGATCACTGCACCTGTACACAGCCCTTCTGAAATTAGCCCACTCAACTACCTCATCCCCTTATTGTTATTTATTTTTGCTAATTTGCACCCCAGTATCTCCATTTGCACATCATCTTTTGCACATCTATCATTCCAGTGTTAATACGAAATTGTAACTATTTTGCACTATGGCCTATTTATTGCTTTACCTCCATAACTTACTACATTCGCACTCACTGTATATATATCTTTTCTGTTGTATTTTTGACTTTATGTTTTGTTTACCCCATATGTAACTCTGTTGTTGTTTTTATCGCACTGCTTTGCTTTATCTTGGCCAGGTCTCAGTTGTAAATGAGAACTTGTTCTCAACTGGCTTACCTGGTTAAATAAAGGTGAAATAAAAATCATAAAAATAAGTCCTAATATCAAGAAGAAGGCCTTCCTAGTTTGTTTCAGAATGATGTAATAGCTCCCTCTGCTGGTCACACCACCACATCGTCACATAATAAGACATGGAACTCTTCACTTGAAAGCCTTGTTCTTTTTAGAGGCTCAACCACATCCCTCATGGCTTTGAACTGCTTATATTCACTAAGTAGTAGTTTGGCCTGCCCGGCATGACTGACGCACTGTTTTATAAGTTTGAGGGGGAAAGAAACTCTTTGATCCACTCCCATTTAGGATCCTCCAACACACTGATAGCTTTATAATATACTAGTAAGTATTTCATGGATGCCATCTGAGTGACTGTAGATTCTCAACCTGGGGCTTTAGCTCCAGCCCTGCTCTAACACATTTGATTCAGCTAATCACGGACCAAATGTGCAGATGATTAGTAGTATCAGGTGTTTTAGAGCCTGCATTCCCCAGTAGTTCTGTAGGAGGAGTGTTGGCCACTCCTGTATGCTGTCTGTCCACCACAAGTATCCAGTGGATGGCAGGCTTGAGTCATTATTACCTCTGTAGTCCTACTATTCAATTATTTTTCTGTGTTTCAGTGACTGGAGTTTCAAAATGTTTACATTCTTATGTAACATGTTGGAGAGTAACTCAAATTGTACTTCATCTTTAGTTTTGTGAATGGATGTGTAATGCCACTACATCAATAAATAAACAAATAGGCTATATCACATACTGTAAGTGTAGTGTTATGATTCATACGGACTTAAACATGGAGACAGGATGTTATTAAAGTAAGGGAAGGTGCACTGACTGTCTGATTCATTAAACTCAGACTAGCCTAAATAGGTAGGTTACGCTACCTGTGCTTCTTCCTCACACCTATTGCAAATTATAGTCAGCCTTTGAGAAGTAATAAGACTATAAAATACGCTACATGGCCAAATGTATGTGGACACCTGCTCGTCGAACATCTCATTCCAAAATCATGGGCATTAATATGGAGTTGGTCCCCCCTTTGCAGCTATAACAGCCTCCACTCTTCTGGGAAAGCTTTCCACTAGATGATGGAACATTGCTGAGGGGTCTTGCTTCCATTCAGCCACAAGAGCATTAGTGAGGTCAGGCACTGATGTTGGGCGATTAGGCCCGGCTGGCAGTCGGCATTCCAATTCATTACAAAGGTATTAGATGGGGTTGGGGTCAGGGCTCTGTGCAGGCCAGTCAAGTTCTTCCAAACTGATCTCGACAAACCATTTCTGTATGGACCTCGCTTTGTGCACTGGTGCATTATTATGCTGAAAGGGCCTTCCCCAAACTGTAGAAACAAAGTTGGAAGCACAGAATCGTCTAGAATGTCATTGTATGCTGTAGCGTTAAGATTTCCCTTCAGTGGAACTAAGGGGCCCAAACCATGAAAAACAGCCCCAGACCATTATCCTCCTCCACCAAACTTTACAGTGCATTCGAGCAGGTAGCGTAGCGTGCTCCTGGCATCCTCCAAACCCAGATTTGTCCGTTGGACTGCCAGATGGTGAAGCATGATTCATCACTCCAGAGAAGACGTTTCCACTGCTCCAGAGCTAATGGTGGCAAGCTTTATACCACGCATGGTGATTTTAGAATTGTGTGCGGCTGCTCGGCCATGGAAACCCATTTCATGAAGCTCCCGACTAACAGTTATTGTGCTGATGTTGCTTCCAGAGGCAGTTTGGAACTCGGTAGTGAGTGTTGCAACCGAGGACAGACAATTTTTACGCACTACACAATTCAGCACTCGGTGATCCAGTTCTGTGAGATGTGTGACCTATCACTTCGCTGAGCCTTTGTTGCTCCTAGACGTTTCCACTTCACAATAACAGTGCTTACATTTGACAGGGGCAGCTCTAGCATGGCAGAAATGTGATAAACTGACTTGTTGGAAAGGTGGCATCCTATGATGGTGCCACGTTGAAAGTCACTGAACTCTTCAGTACAGGCCATTCTACTGGCAATGTTTGTCTATGGAGATTGCTGTGTGCTCGATTTTATACACCTGTCAGCAACGGGTGTGGCTGAAATAGCCGAATCCACTAATTTGAAGGGGCGTCCATATACTTTTGGCGATGTTGTGTAGTTGTTGATAGTTTTAAGAGTAATACAGACAGCAAAACGTAATGCTACTAACACATTTTACAAGGCAAGGCTGAAGCGTCTAAGCTAGCCTACTTCCTTACCTGTGTGTATGGGGCGGGTACCTGTCCTGAGCGAACGGGACAGCAGACCGCATGAGACCGCACCATACCACACACTCCACAGAAAAAAGTATAGAAAATAGGTTTCAAACTTTTATCAAGGTGAGTTTACCTGTGTTCTGTTACGGTTTTAGCAAGAGATTAGAGATTGTAGCCTACACATGGCTGAGGTTTTGGTTTTATCGGTGATGGGTTGCGGCTCATTCGCAGTTGAGCCGTTTTAGTTTTGTAAACCTACATGCAGTATAGGCTAACTTAATCATCAAGCCTATGACTAGTTCAACCAGGTGAGCTAGTTCAGGGCTACAACAAAATTGTGAAACGTCTGGGGATCCCCGAGGAGAGGTTTGAGAAACAACTGGGCTAGTATACAGTCTAGCCTATCGTTTATAATGTAAGCCTACATAACACATTTGTGTTTAGTAGCGTGTGCTACTAAATTTAACCTACTCTCTTATAAATCGACCTTATAGTCCTTATAGATTTTCTTAAATTCATATTTCACCATAGATGTTTCTCAGAACAGTTTTATGAGTGCTAAAAACGTTTTTTTTGTTCCAGATTACCTCATGCGAATAAAAATAACACTTATTTAATAGCCAGGTTTCCATCAAAACGTTTTATGCGAGTAAAGTACATATCGGATTTCAGAAAATGTAATGACAGACCTGATGGAAACATACTTTTTTTACGCTATACAAGGTGGGATCCGTTTGTGTCGGTGAAATGAATTATGCGAGAAATGTCGGTTGAAACGCTTTTTTGCGCAAATATTGATATAATAGCCATCACATCGAAGTAAACTTGTAGTCACGCGATGACGTGTTGTGTGGTTCTCCCACTACGACGTCGAAAAGCATGCAGTGTATTAAGCTACAGATGAAATAAATTATGATAAACTTCACAGGGTGGTGAAAGTGCAAGGTGATGAGCTTGATGCTCCTTTCCAAGGTCTTATTCTGGTGACATGTTAATCGATGCTTGGCAAATAAAAATACTATTGCTCGTCCATAAAAATAATGGCATCATGTAGGCTATAGTTGCGCAGAGCACGTGCCAATACCCGAGTGGGCACACCAGCTACATAACGCAACATTTTTTGTGAGAAAACCATCAGTAGAGTTGAAAATGCGATGAAAACCCATTTAACTTATATTTGTTGGTCGGTACATGGGAATTTAAGCGCTAAAGGTATTTTGTATGCCCTGTGTCATCGAGCACAGCCATTGACCTGCAACAAGTCAGTTTGATGGAAACATCTCTGGAGGGGAAATGCACATATTTTTTTATGCGGATTTTTAGAATATTCGCATGAAAATATGTCGCCAATTGGATGGAAGCCAAGCTATTGATGCTAAACAAACATGGAATCTGGGTTTAATATTTATGTGGTCTACAGCCCTTGTTTTATATTTGCGAAGTACACAGTATCTCAGAACTATGCAGCATCTTTGCAAATACCTACTGTAGGCTACAACTATTGACCGATTTTTTCCCCAAGGACTGGCTATAAGTGCAAAGAGTGCTCCATATTTTGTCCTGGTGGGGTAATTTATTAACGCTTGCTGCAGTAGGCCTGTGGGCTCTCTGTGAAGGTGTGAATTCACAGCACACATCTCTGTACCCTGCAGACATTAGTATTGACAGGTTTAGACTTCAACTGTACCCCACAGCCACAGGAGGCTACTGAGGGGAGGACAGCTCATAATAATGGCTGGAATGGAGTATATGGAATGGTATCAAACACATGGAAACCATGTGTTTGATGAGTTCAATACCATTCTACTGATTCCGTTCCAGCCACTACTATGAGCCAGTCCTCCCCAATTAAGGTGCCACCCACCTCCTGTGCCCACAGCTACAGAATGTGGAGTGGGAGAGAGGATCACAACAACACAATGTGAACACTATAATAACTCTATTCTTCACAATAACTCTTATTAAGGCTTTAGCAAGTATTAACCAGAAAACAACTATTTTTAAAAGACCCATTGTTTTACCAGGAATTAAGACAGGGATAGATGAGAGGGAGAGAGAACCCATATTTATGTTAATTGTTCCTCCTTTTGTACTTTTAACTATTTGCACATCGTTATAACACTGTATATAGACATAATATGACATTTGACATTTCTTTATTCTTTTGGAACTTTTGTGAGTGTAATGTTTATTTCACTTTTGTTTATTATCTATTTCACTTGCTTTGGCAATGTAAAAATATGAGAGAGAGAGAGAGAGAGAGAGAGAGAGAGAGAGAGAGAGAGAGAGAGAGAGAGAGAGAGAGAGAGAGAGAGAGAGAGAGAGAGAGAGAGAGAGAGAGAGAGAGAGAGAGAGAGAGAGAGAGAGAGATGAAGGGAGATCTAGGTCATGTGGTTGTTTTGCAGGGTCTCTCTCCTGTGCCAGATTCGTGTCCCTGCTCATCACACATTCCATGAATGGATCCATACACTCTTAGAAAAAAAGGTGCTATGTACAACCAAGTAGGGTTCTTCCGTTTGTCCCCATAGGGGAACCCTTTTTGGTGCTAGGTAGAAGAACCCATTTGCAGAGGGTTCTACCTAGAACCCTTTATGTAGGGTTTTGCCTAGAACCCTCTATGGGTTCTACCAACAACCATTTTATCATCTAAAGGTTCTTCCTAGAACCCTCTATGAAGGGTTTTACCAATAACCCTTTTTTATCTGTAGAGGATTTTATCCTAGAACCTTCTATGAACAGTTCCACCAGCCTTATTACCCTTTAAAATGTCATTCTTTATGACAATACATTACATATATCATCAGGCCTTTCTTTGAGTGCCTAGTTATACTCTAACACAGTGGTGTTAGGAAACTCCTGGTTTACAGGCCATATCAGACCTGCAAGTCACATTATGCTGGCTTGCAAAGTGATGTGTAATTCCTATTGAGTCCAGCCAGAGTCAGGATATTCAACAAGTGGAATTTTTATCACCCGCAACCTGCATTCAGAATGACTGTCAGGGTAGGGAAGGTTGAATACTGAGACTACCTCAATCATCTAAACTGGAACAACCATCTCAGTAACAGGTCCAATAAATCCAACTACTAACAGATTGGGATTAGTTTAGAAAAATGTATGCTATTTATCTTTGTGTAACATAAGATTAATCAACCAATCAATGTACATGCAAAAGCAGATATTAAAACAAACAATTCTAAAAATCAACCTGCAATAGAGCATGCTGGGAAATATGATATTTGGTTATATGTAGAACCCTTCTTGCCTTCCAAAGAATCATCAAATAACCTGTTCTTACAAAAAGGGTTCTTAGGATGTTAAAGGTTCTAAGTAGGACCCTTTACCTTACCAAGAACCCTTGTCTTCCAATTCCAAAAAAGTATTCTTCCGTAGAACCCTATCCCTCCGAAAATAACCCTTTTGGAACCCTTTTTTTAAAGAGTGTAGTCCTCCCTGCCTCCACCTCCCTCCCTATCTCCTCATCTTCTCCCTAGCTTCCCCTCTACCACTCATTCATGGAGTGGGAGATATTTGCAGTCTCTATCTCCCTCCTCTCTCTATTACCTTCTGTCCAAGAACTAAATTTTACTGTATCCCTTTCTTTCTTTCTTTCTTTCTTTCTTTCTTTCTTTCTTTCTTTCTTTCTTTCTTTCTTTCTTTCTTTCTTTCTTTCTTTCTTTCTTTCTTTCTTTCTTTCTTTCTTTCTTTCTCTTTGATCTCCTCTGTTTGCAGTAGCCCTTCAGAACAACTTCAGAACAATTTAGAGCAGAAGTGGTTTTCTCCTCCAAACCAGCCGTGGCAGACATTCTAAGAAATTCCATTAAAGGTTCAATGCATCAATTTTTATCTCAATATCAAATCATTTCTGGGTAACAATGAAGTACTTTACTGTGATTGTTTTCATTTAAAATTGAGAAGAAAATAAAAGCTTCTTAGCAAAGAGACATTTCTCAAGCAAGAATTTAGCTAGGACTGTCTGGGACTGGTCTGAGTGGGGAGGGGAAAACTGAACATTCCAGGCAGTCTTTTCAAACAGCTCTTACACTAAAATGGCATTATGATCATTTTCACAATTTCACAGTATTATTCCAACCTCATAGTGTGGAAATGTATATAAAACACAGGAAAATCACGTTTTTGACTGCACTGGGCATTTAAGAACCCAGAGTATTTAACTGTACGTTACTGTATGTTGCCTTACCTCTGGCAGTAGCCCAATGGTTTCTACACATAGATTTATGTGTGAATGGTGATGTTTTATTCATAATTATAAACCGGGTGGTTTGAGCAATGAATGCTGATTGGCTGAAAGCCGTGTTATATTAGACCTATAACATGGGTATGACACAAAATTACTTTTGACTGTTCTAATTACGTTGGTAACCAGTTTATAATAGCAATAAGGTACCTCAGGGGTTTGTGGTATATGGCCAATTAGGGCTGTCCCCGACAAAAAAAAAAGAGTTGTCTGTTCTTTCAACCAATCGATTGGTCGAAATTTTAAAATATGTATTTTGCAATATATAAACACATCCTATGTATTTTAATCAAATCAACTACAGTGCATTTGGAAAGTATTCATACCCCTTGACGTTTTCCACATTTTGTTACGTTACAGCCTTATTCTAAAATTGATTAAATAATTTTTTCCCCTCATCAATCTACACACAATAACCCATAATGACAGAGCAAAACCTGGTTTTTAGACATGTTTGCAAATAAAAAAAACTAAAAAAAACGGAAATATCACAGTTACACAAGTATTCAGACCCTTTACCCAGTACTTTGTTGAAGCACCGTTGGCAGCGATTACAGCCTCGAGTCTTCTTGGGTATGACGCTACAAGCTTGGCACACCTGTATTTGGGTTGTTTCTCCCATTCTTCTCTGCAGAACCTCTCAAGCTATGTCAGGTTAGATGGGGAGCGTCGCTGCACAGCTATTTTCAGGTCTCTCCAGAGATGTTCGATCGGGTTCAAGTCCGGGCTCTGGCTGGGCCACTCAAGGACATTCAGAGACTTGTCCCAAAGCCACTCCTGTGTTGTCTTGGCTGTGTGATTAGGGTCATTGTCCTGTTGGAAGGTGAACCTTCGCCCCAGTCTGAGGTCCTGAGCTCTCTGGAGCAGGTTTTCATCAAGGATCTCTCTGTACTTTGCTCTGTTCATCTTTCCCTCAATCCTGACTAGTCTCCCAGTCCCTGCCACTGAAAAACATCCCCACAGCATGATGCTGCCACCACCATGCTTCACCGTAGGGATGGTGCCAGGTTTCCTTCCAGACGTGACGCTTGGCATTCAGGCCAAAGAGTTCAATCTTGGTTTCATCAGACCAGAGAATCTTGTTTCTCATGGTCTGAGAGTCCTTTATGTGACTTTTACTGAGGAGTGGCTTCCGTCTGGCCACTACCATAAAGCCTGATTTGTGGAGTGCTGCAGAGATGGTTGTCCTTCTGGAAGATTCTCCCATCTCCACAGAGGAACTCTGGAGCTCTTTCAGAGTGACCATTGGGTTCTTGGTCAACTTCCTGACCAAGGCCCTTCTCCCCCGATTGTTCAGTTCGGCTGAGCTGCCAGCTCTAGGAAGAGTCTTGGTGGTTCCAAAGTTCTTCCATTTAAGAATGATGGAAGCAACTGTGTTCTTGGGGACCTTCAATGCTGCAGACATTTTTTGGTACTCTTCCCCAGATCTGTGCCTTGACACAATCTTGTCTCGGAGCTGTAGAGACAATTCCTTCAACCTCATGGCTTGGTTTTTGCTCTGACATGCACTGTCAACTGTGGGACCTTATATAGACAGGTGTGTGCCTTTCCAAATCATGTCCAATTGAATTTACCATAGGTGGACTTATATCAAGTTGTAGAAACATCTCAAGGATGATCAATGGAAATAGGATGCACCTGAGCTCAATTTCGAGTCTCATAGCAAAAGGTCTGAATACTTATGTAAATAAGGTATTTCTGTTCTTTTATTTTTAATAAATGTGCAAACATTTCTAAAAACCAGGTTTTTGCTTTGTCGTTGTGGGGTATTGTGTGTAGATTGATGAGGAAAAATAAATAATTTAATCCATTTTAGAATACGTCTGTAACGTAACAAAATGTGGAAAAAGGGAAGGGGTATGAATAGTTTTTCCGAATGCACTGTATATAGTTGATTTTATTAAAACACATAGGGTGTGTCTATATATGAAAAAATACACGTTTTAACATTTCAACCAGCCGATTGGTCGAAAGAACAGGCGACTTTCGGTTGACCAGGATTTGTTTTAGTCAGGGACAGCCCTACTATATAGGGAATGTATATTTATTTTAGTCAGTCAGTACTGCAGATGAGACTAAACATGCCCTTTCACGGACCTGTCTCTTCAGTCAGTGTTTTGGGGAAGCCACAGCAGGATCAGTCCTCAATCATATTTTATTCATACAGCACTCTTTTCACAAAAACATTTGTTAATAAATCCTCTATCTCTCTCCTAACCTCCCTCCTCTCCAGCAGGGCCATGATAAACACGGCAGAGTATGGCAACATGTCGTGGGAGCTGTCAGTCCAGGTGGACCAGAAAGATGGAGATGAGGGCATGAGGTTTAAACTCCGAGTCAAGGGAGACCTGCACATTGGAGGACTCATGCTCAAACTGGTGGAGAAGATCAGTAAGTCTCTCTCTCTCTCTCTTTTATTCTCTCTTCCACCCCTCTCTGTCTCTCTGTCGCTCTCTCTGTCGCTCTCTCTGTCGCTCTCTCTCTCTGTCGCTCTCTCTCTCTCTCTCTCTCTCTCTCTCTCTCTCTCTCTCTCTCTCTCTCTCTCTCTCTCTCTCTCTCTCTCTCTCTCTCTATGTCTCCCCCCCCCCCTTCTCTCAGCCACAGTACTAGCCTGGAGAACACACCCTTGTTTGCCCTACATTCATCTATAGTGCTGAGTAGTATTGTTCTCCCACAATGCTTCAGTACCACAGCCAGAGGTGCTGAAGTCCACCACTTTATCTCATGTTTATTCACCTGGGAGAAATTTCAAAAGACACCCTATTCCCTGTGTAGTGCGCTACCTTTGACAGTTATTACGTCTACAAAATGAGTGTACTACATGGAGAATAGGGTGTGATTTAAGACACATTCTGTGTTCATCCAGGAGGATTAGACACTATGGAATTCCCCTAGGGGAAGACAGCATGAAAGTGACCTAAGCTTCGGTTTATTTCACATAGATATGAGGTGTGTTGTGTTTGTTACAGTGGAGGTAAGTGGGTGTATGACAACATGTACTTTATATGACTAAGCCATATATGACTCAGTGGCCAGTCATCAGACTGGACCAGCACAGCAGTGGTCTGGGTTTAGCCATAATAATGCCACAACATGTTGTCATTCACAATCATCAAGCACAACCCCTCTGCTTCCTGTGGGGATTTTTTATGCCTGCTGCAGGTGGTCTGTCAAGTTATTAGACGAGTGAATATCGGTTTTAATTGTGGATAATAGATACAGCTGTACATGTTTAATGGCAATGTTTGTGCCTTGTGAAAATTCTGTCCTTTTACCCAACCATAAACCCTCTCTTTCTCTCTCTTTCCCCCCTCTCCCTCTCTCTGTCAGAGGCCCCTCAGGACTGGTCAGACCATGCTCTGTGGTGGGAGAAGAGAAGCTGTTGGCTGCTGAAGACCCACTGGACCCTGGACAAGTATGGTGTCCAGGCAGATGCTGACCTGCGCTACACCCCCCAGCACAAACCCCTGTGCCTGCAGCTGCCCAACATGAAAACAGTCAAACTTACCGTCAGCTACTCTGCCGTCGTCTTCAAGACCGTCGCAGAGATCTGCAGAGCACTCAGTGAGTACTTTATCTGGGTCTGATGCCCTATCCACACCCCCTAGCCTCTAGTCCGTAAGCACTAGTCCCTATGTACTAGTGTACTGTAGATCTGAAAGGATTGGATCAGTGTTTAATATGGTCAAGTTTCCATTACTGATTGGTGGCAAGGAGAATGTTTGCCATATTGTTCATACTATTCCAGTCCTCTCACATCTTCCCCAGGTCACCAGGGCTGAGGGGGGTAGGGGCTATGACCTAAGGGTTAGGGATTTAAAGGTAGGTGTAGGGATTTAGGGCTAGGAGTCTAAGGAAGTGGTTCTCAAACCTCTCCTCAGAGACCCCCAGCCGTTCCATGATCTATTCCAGAGCTAGCACACCTGATTCAACTTGTCAACTAATCATCAAGCCCTTGAATAGGTGAATCAGGTGAGCTAGTTCAGCTCTACAGCAAAATTGGGAAACGTCTGGGGGTCCCGAGAAGAAATTTGAGAACCACTGGTCTTGGGGCTAGGGTGTAGGGTCTAGGGGTAGAATCTCTCCTTGACGCCCTCTCTCTCCTCTAGACATCAGGAGGCCAGAGGAGCTGTCTCTGCTGAAGCCTCCAGATAACCCGTCCAAGAAGAAGAATAAGAATAAGAAAGACAAGAACCCAGCGCTGGATGACATCTTAGACATGGACATCATCAATGGAGGCTCTGGGGGAACAGGTGAGAGACACAGTGTTATAATAATGTGTTAATCATGTGTTATTAGACATGGATATTTTCAGTAGAGGGTCAGATTCTTCCCATCTATTTTCATGTAAAGACTTTTCAACCAAGTTAGCCATATCCTAGGTGGCAGCCTGTTTCTGCTTTACCCAACCCCTTTGTGGTTGTCTCTGTCAATATACCTTTATTGAATCACAGAAACCATCAGGCCCTCATGGTAAGTTATCCTCATGGTGAAGTTAGCCTGGTGTAAACTTTCCTCATATCGCGAAGGTCAGCTTGAATCATGCTGTGAAGGGATTTCATTCATCACTATGGCAACACAGTCAAGGTTTAGAACCTCTGGCTAACTCAATGTGGATAGACTTTTATGTCTCACACCACCGACAGATTCAGCCCACATGATGGCTTCTGTAGACTTCTGGAACAATCTAAGAAGGGATGGAGAATTCTATAGTGCTTCTGAAGATCTAAAAGAATAGAGCGATTATGACGGATATCTGAAAGAATAGTACAGTACGCTGCTATGTTCTCAAGGCTTTCATTTAACACATACTCTGAAACGCAGACACACACACTTTCTGAGTCTGTGTGAGTGTACAGTAGCTACGGTATAGGGCAGCTGAGGATTCCATACCAACTCATAAAACCAGCCTCCTTTTGACTGTAGCTCTGAACCGTTTCAAAGCAAATGAAGACCGGCACATTTCTCCCATAATGATCTCTGTTCCCACTCCTGGGGCTGAATTCATAAAGTGTGTCAGAGTAGGAGTGCTGGTCCAGGATCAGGTCCCCATGATATAATTTTATTTCTTATGATCTAAAAGACAAAACTGATTCTAGATCAGCACTCTCATTATGAATATGGTCCCTGAACTGTCTCCTCCACCTGACCCCTCCAGGCAGTCCCTTGTACAGTAAGACCATGGTGCCCACCTATGACCCAGAGAACGGGACTCCAGCCTCGGCCACCAGCCTGTGGTTTGGGGACAACCCCCTGACCTCCAGCCAGCCCAACCTGCCCCCTGTGGAGCTGGCCAAGATGTACCAGCAGTTGTCCATGGTGGACAAAGCCATCATCAACGCAGGGTAAGAGTTACTCAGAAACAAAAACTCCATTGGAAGGAAGAAAACCTTGAGATTATCCAGACTATAGCTGGACACGTAGAATAGTTACTAGTTGTTGGCTTTGCTATGATGGAGGGCAATTCTCTGTCTCTCCCCTGAACACTTCCTGGTTTACTGTGATAGGCTGCTGATGTGATTGACAGGTGGCTGGACTCCTCCCGCTCCTTGATGGAACAGGGAATTGGAGAAGATGACAGACTGCAGCTACGCTTCAAATACCACTGCTTCTTCGACCTCAACCCAAAGGTAACACTAACCCCTAACCTTAAACCTAAGTGAGTGTTTGAATACAACTGAACCTCAACCCTAAGGTGAGACTAACTGTAACCATAACGCCACCTCTAACCCTAACATTGACTGATTGATGTGTGTTTCAGTATGATGCTGTGAGGATAACCCAGCTGTATGAGCAGGCTCGCTGGTCCATCCTACTGGAGGAGATCGACTGCACTGAGGAGGAGATGCTCATGTTCGCCTCCTTACAGGTACACGCGCACACACTATTATCCATCTGGTTTGGTGTCTTAGTCCCAGAGGAGGCATGATGGGACAAGAGGACAATCCCACAGGAGGAGGGAGGGAGGGAGGGAGTCTGGTTATAATCCTGAACTCCTTTGGGTGAGAAAATATGAGAAAATATAAAGAACACAAAAGTATTAAGCGAAAAACTGTACTTCATCTCTGACTTTGATTTATTCTCAGCTGATCTATAAAAACGGTTAAATCCCTGAGATGGTTATTGCTCTCACCTGCATAGTTACTGGAATCACAGGGCTGTCTCTGTCTTCTCCCAGTCTTGTGTCATCAACTGGCCTCAAGTGTTTAACTAAAATCTGTTGCTGTTAGTATGATAATTCCCGTCATTAAGTGATGATTATTAATGATTATGTTAATATTGTTTCAGTATCACATATGCAAGATGACCATGTCCACCGAACCTCAGGACTTCTCCAATGAACCGGAGATAGATGAAGTAGAGGCTGCCTTATCCAATCTAGAGGTTACACTTGAAGGAAAAACAGACAGAATATTGGTAAGTATAGTTTTTATGAATATAAACTATTCATATTCTTTACATACAGTATAAATGATAAACAAGTGTGTATGTCATTTCTTAGCTGCAGTTTGTTTTCAACAGTTTCAGAGGGTGCAACACCTGTATTTAAGCAAGGGTTGATGGGTAGTCTGCTTCGATTGCATGTCTCAACATGATGATGTCACTAAGTCACAGGATAATTTAGAGTTGCTTGTCCCCGGCCCCCCAGGAAGACATCACAGACGTTCCAAAGCTGGCAGACTCCCTCAAGCTGTTCAGGTAAATCCTGAAGGCCCCTGTATATGGCCAGGAACACACATTAATAGGGTACTGTATACTGTAACTCTATATCTCTGTAACAAATGGAAACATAGGTCATAGAGACCTTGAATGATAAGTAGTAGAAGTAAAATGCCATTTCACTTTAGAGAAGGAAAGGTTAATACGTTACACTGTAGATAGTCCATGACACAGACAGTTCACACAGCAACATTGAACGTTCGTGCAACAGTGTGACTGTGTGGGGACACAACCTGTTCAGGTTTTTCCTCACCAAGTGTTTTGTTTGTTTCGTACCTCAGGCCTAAAAGACTGGCGTTGCGTCCGTATAAGGAGTACTGGTTCGTGTTTAAAGACACCACCATCTCCTACTACAAGAACAAAGATACAGCTAGCGGAGAGCCCATAGAACAGTTGCATCTCCGAGGATGTGAGGTGGTCCCTGATGTGAATGTGACGGACAAGAAGTTTGGTATCAAGCTGCTGCTCCCAGTGGCTGATGGGATGAACGAGGTCTACATCCGCTGTGACAATGTAAGATGCTATTTCGTATTTGACCAAATGTTGTTGTTTTTTGGGGGGGGGCACCAAGAACATGACTCTGTTGTTCACCTTACATATTGTGATGATATTCCTGTTTTTATCCAGGAGACGCAGTATGCCAAGTGGAAGGCAGCGTGTACTCTGGCCTCCAAGGGCAAGACCATGGCTTACAGCTCCTACAGGTCAGACTTTCTTACTGAATCCTTCCCATGCCTTACCACATTGATAGGGTTCTGACTGTAAACTGACTAGGAGAAACTGTGATTGGTCTAGGTCGGAGGTGAAGAACATACAGTCGTTCCTGCAGATGAAGAGTCTGGCGCCCCCCCCTGGTCAGGCTGCTCCAGACCTGGATGCCATGGAGATGAACGCTGAGTGCTTTGTCTCTCCCAGATACACCAAGAGGTACAAGACCAAACAGGTGGGTATCTATCTGCAATATAGGGTGATGATCAATCAAGCATGATTCTGTGTTTGTGAGCCACAGACAGGGAGAGGATGTCATCAGTGCTGCTGCTCCAGTTTCCACTCTTCTGCCTGCGGCTATGGAACCCTGACCTGTTCACCGGACGTGCTACCTTGTCCCAGACCTGCTGTTTTCAACTCTCTCTCTCTACCGCACCTGCTATTTCAACCTCTAAATGCCTGGCTATGAAAAGCCAAGTGACATTTACTCCTGATGTACTGACCTGTTGCAACCTCTACAACCACTGTGATTATTATTTGACCCTGCTGGTCATCTATGAACGTTTAAACATCGAAAAAATCGGGCCTTAATGGCCATGTACTGTTATAATCTCCACCCGGCACAGCCAGAAGGGGACTGGCCACCCCTCAGAGCCTGGTTCCTCTCTAGGTTTCTTCCTAGGTTTTTGCCTTCCTAGGGAGTTTTTCCTAGCCATCGTGCTTCTACCTCTGCATTGCTTGCTGTTTGGGGTTTTAGGCTGGGTTTCTGTATAGCACTTTGTGACATCTGTTGATGTGAAAAGGGCTTTATAAATACAATTTGATTGATTGTTTGATTGATCAGAGCTCTCCAGAGAAGGAGCCATATTAGGATGGAGTGGTTTTATAATCTCTGACTGACAATAATGCTTATCTGTTGACATCCAGGCCATTCTATTCCATTCACTTACCCTCTCAGTATTTGTTAAAGGACTGACATAATGTCTGTGTAAAGTAGCGTAAATGTCCCTGTTCTGTCTCCTGTCCAGCTGACAGCGAGGATCTTGGAGGCCCATCAGAACATTGCCAGTCTCTCTCTTATTGAAGCTAAAATGTGCTTCATCCATGCCTGGCAGTCCCTGGCTGAGTTTGGTATCAAATACTACATTGTCAGGTACGTAAATGTGACCGACCAGGTTCAAACACCTCAAGACTGTGTTAGCCTGTTGAGCTAACACCTTAGCTCAGGGAGCTAATACAAGTCTTCAGGTCCCAGGTAAAGTTACTTATCATGGTTCACGTGTGTGTGTGTGTGTGTGTGTGTGTGCCAGGTTCCGAGGCAGTAAAAAGAATGAGCTGCTGGGTATCTCCTATAACCGTCTGATCCGTATTGACATGTCCACTGGCTTGCCTGTCACCACCTGGAGGTTCGCCAACATGAAACAGTGGAATGTCAACTGGGAAATCAGACAGGTAAATGGCTCTAGATTGATTGATTGATTAATTCATTAATTTGATTGGATACTTTTTACAGATTAGAAAGTAAGGATAATAGTTGCCTTTGTAGTAACAGAAACCAGTTTCTCCTGAAAATGTACTTAGCCTTCCAAAAGTATTCAGACCCGTTAGATTTCTTCACATTTTATTTTGTTACAAAGTGGGATTAAAATGAATTTAATTGTCTACAAATTTCAAGCACATATTATACTACAAAGACCAGGGAGCTTTTCAAAAGCCTCATAAAGGGCAGTGATTGGTAGATGGGTAACAATAACAAATCAGACATCTCTTTAAGCATGATGGTCAAGTTAATAATTATGCTGTGAATTAAGGTCCCGTGTAGCTCAGTTGGTAGAGCGTGGCGCTTGCAACGCCAGGGTTGTGGGTTTGATTCGCACGGGGGACCAGTATGAAAAATGTATGCACTCACTAACTGTAAGTTGCTCTGGATAAGAGCGTCTGCTAAATGACTAAAAATGTAAATGTAAAATTATGCATTAAACCAGCTAGACACATCAAAGATACAGTCGTCCTTATGAACTGAGCTGCAGGACAGGAAGGAAACTGCTCAGGGATGTTATCATGAGGCCATTGGTGATTTTAAAACAGTTACAGAGTTCAATGGCTGTAATGGGAGAAAAGAGAGGATGGATTAACAACATTGTAGTGAATCCACCAGAGTGAAAAGAAGAATACAAATATACAGAATAAAAATATTCCAAAACATACATCTTGTATGCAACAAGGCACTAAAGTAATACGGCAAAGGAATACACTTTTTGGTCTAAATGCAAAGCCTTATGTTTGGGGCACATCCAACACGACACATCACTGAGTAACTGCCTCCTTATTTTCAAGCATGGTGTTGGCTGCATCATGGTATGGGTATGCTTGACATCGGCAAATACTGGGGAGTTTCAGGACAAAAATAAAATGGGATGGAGCTAAGCACAGGCAGAATCCTAGATGAAAACCTGCTTCACACTAGACACTGGGAGAGGAATTCACCTTTCAGCAGGACAATAACCTACAACACAAGGCCAAAACTACACTGGAGTTGTTTACCAAGAAGACAGTGAATGTTCCTGAGTGGCAAAGTTACAGTTTTGACTTAAATCTGATTGGAAATCTATAGCAAGACTTTAAAATTGCTGTCTAGCCATGATCCCCAACATCTTGACAGAGCTTGAAGAACTATGAATCCAGGTGCGGAAAGCTCTTAGAGACTTACGCAAGAAGACTCGCAGCTGTAATCACTGCCAAAGGTGTTTCTAACATGTATTTGTCACGATCGTCGAAGGAGGAGGACCAAGGCGCAGCGTTGAATGCAAACATATTTATTAACTGCTTACACGAACAAAACAACAAACGATACCGTGACGTCCTCTGTCTAACACAAACCAACACGGAACAAGATCCCACAAACACTGTGGGAAAACTGGCTGCTTAAGTATGGTTCTCAATCAGAGACAACAAGCAACAGCTGATACACGTTGCCTCTGATTGAGAACCACACTGGCCAACATAGAAATACAACTGACTAGAACAGAAACACATGAAAACTCATACCCTGGCTCAACATACTAGAGTCCCCAGAGCCAGGGCGTGACAGTACCCCCCCCCCCCAAAGGCGCAGACTCCGACCGTGCCAACCAAACACCACAGGGGAGGGACCGGGTGGGCACTCCGCCTTGGCGGCGGATCCGGCTCCGGGCATGATCCCCACTCCCTCTCTAACCCCCCAAAGTACCCCTGGTCCGGTCTGGCCCTGCTGGCCGGAGCTGGACTGAACACTGGTGGAGCGGATTGCTCTAGCTCCAGCGTGGAGCAGCTGACCGGTACCGGACCAGGCACCAGTGGAACAGGCACGGGCTGTGCCGGACTGACGACGCACACCACTGGCTTGGTGTGGGGAGCAGGAACAGGCCGAGCCGGGCTGGCGACGTGCACCATAGGCTTGGTGCGGGGAGCAGGAGCGGGCCGGACCGGGCTGACGAAGCGCACCACTGACTTGGTGCAGAGAGCAGGAATGGACCGGGCCGGGCTGGCGACGCGCACCACTGACTTGGTGCGGGGAGCACCACTGACTTGGTGCCGGACCGTACTGGGGACACACAACACTGGCCCTACGCAGGGATCAGGAACGGGCTAGACCGGACTGGTAACACACCCCAGTACCTCTCGCCGTGCCTCTACACTTTCCCTCTCCTCTGTGACCAGTGGCCCCCTTAACCTGGCGGCCTCCTCTGCAAACCCGCTGGACCGCTCCATCGCGGCCTCCTGCTGCCCCGTCGTCCACAGCGTGAGCCCCCCCCTAAAAAATTTCTGGTTGTCTCTCCTCCCCGTGGACCAAGCCTCCCTATCTCTCGCCAGACTCTTCCTCCACTGCTCCAAAGTCCAACCACTCTGCTCTTCATTTGGCTTGACCCAGTCAAGACTCTTCCTCCACTGCTCCCAAGTCCACCCTCTCTGCTCTTCACTAGGCTTGACCCAGTCGAGGTTGCCACAGAGATCCGCTAGCGATTCCCCTGGCGATGGCTCCTGGACACGCTGCTTGGTCCAGTTTTGGTGGGATCTTCTGTCACGATCATCGAAGGAGGAGGACCAAGGCGCAGCGTTGAATGCAAACATATTTATTAATTAACTGCTTACACGAACAAAACAACAAACGATACCGTGGCGTCCTCTGTCTAACACGGAACAAGATCCCACAAACACTGTGGGAAAACTGGCTGCTTAAGTATGGTTCTCAATCAGAGACAACAAGCAACAGCTGATACACATTGCCTCTGATTGAGAACCACACTGGCCAACATAGAAATACAACTGACTAGAACAGAAACACATGAAAACTCACACCCTGGCTCAACATACTAGAGTCCCCAGAGCCAGGGCGTGACAGTATTGACTTAGGGAGCTGAATACTTATGCAACAACTGCATTTTGGTTATTTAATTTATAGTAATCTTTTACAAAAATTACAAATGTTCTTCCACTTTGACACTACAGAGTATTTTGTGTAGATTGTTTACATACATTTACAAGTCAATCTATTTTAATCCCACTTTGTAACACAATAAAATGGGAAGAAATCCAAGGGTTATGAATACTTTTGCAAGGCACTGTATCTATAAAGTACATTAAACAATAATAATCCATATTGTTTAATGTCTTCAGGTGGCCATAGAGTTTGACCAGAATGTGTCGATAGCCTTCTCCTGTGTGAGCTGTGACTGTAAGGTGGTCCATGAGTACATTGGAGGATACATCTTCCTCTCAACACGCTCCAAAGACCAGAACGAGACACTGGATGAGGAACTCTTCCACAAACTCACTGGAGGGAAGGAATGAACCCGGGACATCAGCTTTCACTTAGTGCCGCTGTCAAGAAAGAATTGAAATTCGTTGTCGATATGGTTTTGTAGGTTACATCAATGATTTGTTCATATTGTAAATTGCAGAGAAAAGTAGACGTCTTTGTCACTATATTTCATCCCAAGACCATCTCTACAGGATGGGTAGACCATCTCTACAGGATGGGTAGACCATCTCTACAGGATGGGTAGACCATCTCTACAGGATGGGTAGACCATCTCTACAAGGCCACTTCGTCTGACGGTTAGGCCTGGCCTACTGCTTTGAATGCATGGTCCATCTGCAGAGACAGCAATTAATTCAGTACATGGGCTGTACATCTTGTCACCTGTTTGACTTGGTGTAGCCTAGTCTTTGAATTCAATGTTGAAGGCTACTTTCACAATCAATGTATCAGACTGTTCATTGCCCTGTTTTATACATATTACTTGTATGATGTTTTAGAATGTAACGTTTGCAATTTTATTACAAGTCCAACAGAATTTCTGAGATATTTCTGGTGGTGGGTTATTATCATGTTGAACGAGACATTTGTTTTCAGAGAAAACACTGGAATTTCTGTTGACTGAGATGCATTGAAATAAACTTCTGGTCAGTTGTTTTCTCTGTAATGGTGATTCCCTGGGAGCAATTCATGACATGTCCACATAGAATTGGCTTCCCAGCCTTAAGATCAGTGATAACCCCATGTGAGAAAGGTAAAACATCCGTAGACTACATGAGCACATAAGCAGACCAAAAAGGCTTCTACAGTCGTGGTCAAGTATTGGTCTTCACAAAGTTCGCTGCTTCAGTGTTATGAGATATTTTTGTCAGATGTTACTATGGTATACTGAAGTATAATTACAAGCATTCCATATGTGTCAAAGGCTTTTATTGACAATTACATCAAGTTTATGCAAATAGTCAATATTTGCAGTGTTTGACCCTTCTTTTTCAAGACCTCTGCAATCCGCCTTGGCATGCTGTCAATTAACTTCTGGGCCACATCCTGACTGATGGCAGCCCATTCTTGCATAATCAATGCTTGGAGTTTGTCAGAATTTGTGGGTTTTTGTTTGTCCACCTGCCTCTTGAGGATCGACCACAAATTCTCAATAGGATTGAGGTCTGGGGAGTTTCCTGGCCATGGACCCAAAATGTCAATGTTTTGTTCCCCAAGCCACTTAGTTATCACTTTTGCCTTATGCCAAGGTGCTCCATCATGCTGGAAAAGGCATTGGTCGTCACCAAACTGTTCTTGGATGGTTGGGAGAAGTTGATCTCGGAGGATGTGTTGGTACCATTCTTTATTCATGGCTGTGTTCTTAGGCAAAATTGTGAGTGAGCCCACTCCCTTGGCTGAGAAGCAACCCCACACATGAATGGTCTCAGGATGCTTTACTGTTGGCATGACACAGGACTGATGGTAGTGCTCACCTTGTCTTCTCCAGACAAGGTGTTTTCCAGATGCCCCAAACAATCGGAAAGGGGATTCATCTGAGAAAATGACTTTACCCCAGTCCTCAGCAGTCCAATCACTGTACCTTTTGCAGAATATCAGTCTGTCCCTGATGTTTTTCCTGGAGAGAAGTGGCTTCTTTGCTGCCCTTCTTGACACCAGGCCATCCTCCAAAAGTCTTCGCCTCACTGTGCGTGCAGATGCACTCACACCTGCCTGCTGCCATTCCTGAGCAAGCTCTGCACTGGTGGTGACCCGATCCCGCAGCTGAATCAACTTTAGGAGACGGTCCTGGCGCTTGCTGGACTTTCTTGGGCGCCCTGACGCCTTCTTCACAACAATTGAACCTCTCTCCTTGAAGTTCTTGATGATCCGATAAATGGTTGATTTAGGTGCAATCTTACTAGCAGCAATATCCTTGCCTGTGAAGCCCTTTTTGTGCAAAGCAATGTTGATGGCACGTGTTTCCTTGCGGGTAACCATGGTTAACAGAGGAAGAACAATGATTTCAAGCACCACCCTCCTTTTAAAGCTTCCAGTCTGTTATTCTAAATCAATCAGCATGACAGAGTGATCTCCAGCCTTGTCCTCGTCAACACTCTCACCTGTGTTAACGATAGAATCACTGACATGATTGGTACTTTTGTGGCAGGGCTGAAATGCCCTGCCACAAAAGTTCATTTTCATGGCAAAGAGGGACTTTGCAATTAATTTCAATTAATCTGATCACTCTTCATGACATTCTGGAGTATATGCAAATTGCCATCATCAAAACTGAGGCAGTAGACTTGAAAATGTGTATTTGTGTCATTCTCAAAACTTTTGACCACGACTGTACAGTCTGCTAATGTATGTCAAACAGATTATATGTAGACTGTGCATGATATTAGAAGAATGGATGGAGGCTGATTCTAAAATTGACACCTATCGATATTTCTGAAGTCGATTTTTCCTCTGTGCTCTCACACTTACCTATCAGACCCTAGAAAATCATCGCACTTCTCTACCATTGGAGGATACGCTCTACGAACAGCAAATAAGCCAATCAGAGCCGAGTACGGTGAGCGATTGATAGATCTGCTATTGACTGATCGTCCTGAATGCTAAGGAAACGTAGGCTATGATGTGGAAGGAGGGGTTGTTAATCAAGCTTGATATTATGGGGGTAGGAGGAAGAACGTACAACTGGATAAAGGATTTCCTGTTTGGAAGGTCTATCCAGGTGAAGGTGGGGAAGTCTTTATCAGGCAGCTACTTGGTGGATAACGGTACACCACAGGGGAGCGTGATTAGTCCTCTGTTGTTCTCAATCATGATCAATGATGTTTACTCTCAGGTACAGCCGGATATAGGGAGGTCGTTATTTGCAGATGATGGTGCCTTATGGAAGAGGGGAAGAAATGTGCCAGACATAGTCAGGAAGGTACAGAAAGCAATTGATTAGGTAGAGCGGTGGGCATTAATGTGGGGATTCAGGTTCTCTGTAGAGAAAACTCAAACAGTATTCTTTACCAGGAGGAAGGTGGGAGATGAGGTATGCTTGAGGTTATATGGGATAAACTTGGAGAGGGTGGGGGCCTTCAGGTTCCTTGGGGTACACTTTGATACTAGACTGACCTGGGCAGAACACATTGAGAGAGTGGTGGAAAAGTGTAAGAAGGTGCTAAATGTGATGCGCTGTCTGATGAGGAAGGAGTGGGGGGCTGGGCGTTCCTCATTGAGGACCATGTATGTTGCATTGATCCGATCTGTAATAGAATATGGCAGTATAGCATATGGTTTGGCAACCCGAACCTCACTGGAAAGGTGTTATACGGGGCAAGGACTCAGAATATGTAGTGGGGCGTTTCAGTCGTCCCCAGTGGCTGCGTTACAGGTGGAGATGGGGGATATGCCATTGCAGATTAGGAGACAGCAGCTGGCAATCAATTATTGGGTCAACCTACAAGGACATGGGGTGTCTCATCCTGCGAAAGGGATTTTACAGGCATGCTGGGAACATGAGCGAAGACAGAACACAAGCTTTGGGTGGGTAGGTAATACCCAGGCGAAGGAGATGGGACTGTATGGAAGGGAGTTTAGTCCAACAGTAGTTATTCCTGTAAATCCACCATGGCTACTCCCGCCTCCAGTAGTTGATATAGAAGTGTTGGAGAGACTATAGAAAGATAGGTAGGGTGTTGATCCATCTGATTTCTTTAAGAGACGTCTGGAAACTGTATCAGGATTTTGTGGCCATTTACACAGATGGTTCAAAAGATCCAAGGACAGGACTTACTGGGTCAGCATTTGTAGGGCAGGAATGTGGGGTGGAAGTCAGGAAACGTATTACAGATCATCTGGCTGTATATACGGCGGAGCTGATGGCCATACTGTTGGCCTTGCAGTGGGTGGAGGAAGTCAAACAAGACAGAGTAGTTATTTGCTCTGATTCATGTGCAGTGTTAATGAGTTTCCAGTCCTTTACCTCACGTAGCAGACAAGACCTGCTTTATGAGGTGCTACAAACCCAAGGCAGGATTAAACAGATGGGTATTCAGATAAGATTTACTTGGGTCCCAGCCCATGTGGGGGTGGAGGGGAACGAGGCAGTAGATGAACAGGCTATACAAGCACTTAGCAGTGGGGATGTTGATGTTGAAGTTTCAATGAGCAAGGCAGAGGCAAAAAGACTGATATATACAGCGATGTTGCAGAGATGGCAGGAGCAGTGGAATAGAGATAATAAGGGAAGGCATTTATTTCAAGTACAGAGGAAGGTCGGGGAGGGGAGGACAGCAGGAAGGGACAGAAGAGAGGAGGCTATTTTTAGAAGATTAAGGGTGGGACACAGCCAGTTGAATAAGACATTAAATGTGATAGGAAAGTGTGATTATTGTCAGGAAATAGAGACTGTGGAGCATGTATTGCTACAGTGTGGGCAGTATCATTTACATTTTAGTCATTTAGCAGACACTCTTATCCAGAGCAACTTACAGTTAGTGAGTGCATACATTTTTAATACTGGCCCCCCGTGGGAATCAAACCCACAACCCTGGCGTTGCAAGCGCCATGCTCTACCAACTGAGCTACACGGGGCCCCTATCAGAGGGAATGAGAGAGGATGAGATCTAGTATGAGGGAGAAGGGGATACAGGAAATTAGTTTAAAGAGTATATTGAGTAGAACGTCAGTAGGAATAGGCTCAAATATTTTTTTATCTTTTTTAAGAGCAACGGGGCTGGCAGGTTGGATTTAGTTTCTCCTTGTCGCTGGGCCACACTCCAGTACAGTAGGTGGCGGTAATAACGTTGGATGCCAACCGCCGATAAACCCCACTGAAGAAGAAGAAGAAAAGTAGGCTAGCACGTGGGTTAGCTAGTTCAATAGGGGACCTCCAAAAAATACTTTTATTTCAACTTGACTGTTATCTTTGGTGATTAAAAACTAATATTAGTGGGTTAAAAGTTGAGTTTACTATTCTGCTGGCTATTAAGCCAGAAGACAAGCTTTCTAATGGCGGACAATGGAGACGATGACTCCCAGCACAGAGTGAATGAGGGTGACTACGTTGTACTGAAACGGGGAGACATCTACAAAGCTGTGCAGATTCAAAAGAAAAAGTTAGTCGTTACACAACTGTGTTCATGCACAATCACATTATCTGTTGGTTTGCATTAGCTAACAATTCTTGACAGTCAGGTCAAACATTTGCCTGTACGACTAGCATGCAAGCTATGCCGTGTTGATTAGTATTGCACTCTTGCCATCATTGCTTTCTAGCTATCTAAATAGGAGTAGGATACACAGCCAGGTAACTTAACATTCATTTTCACATTTGTAGACGAGAATGTAATAATGGCAGCTTGAAGCTGGATGACATATTTGCAGTTGTGTAGTGTTTTGTGTATCATAGTGGACTCACTGTGTGTTATCGTGCGTTTATTGAAATGATCTGACATGTCTTGTAACCCCAGGAAAACAGTCTTTGAGAAGCAGTGGTTCTTCCTGGACAATGCAGTAGGGGAGTTGTATGGGACCACCTTTGAAGTTGTGACTGATGGGAAACTGCAGCCACGGAAACCTAAACACATCGAGAGCTCTGCAGGTACCTACCTACCAAACAACAACTATTTCAATTCTCTAATTCAGGTATGGATTCAGTTGGCCAGGTGCGGAGTTGATGTCTGTGTCTTGTTTCTGTGTGTCTCTTTAGATGCCAAGGAAGCAGGGACAGACAACAGGAACATTCAGGATGATGGGAAATCACAGAAACTCACCAGAGATGACATTGAGACCCTCAAAGAGCAAGGTCTAAATGGACAGGTACATGATTCGTTGTCATTTCTCCCTCAGGGGGATCACAAATATACAGTACCAGTCAAAAGTTTGGACACACCTACTCATTCGAGTTTTTCTTTATTTTTACTATTTTCTACATTGTAGAATAATAGTGAAGACATAAACTATGAAATAACACATGGAATCATGTAGTAACCCAAAAAGTATTAAACAAATTAAAATCAAAATATATTTTATATTTGAGATTCTTCAAAGTAGCCACCCTTTGCCTTGATGACAGCTTTTCACACGATTGGCATTCTCTCAACCAGCTTCACCTGGAATGCTTTTCCAACAGTCTTGAAGGAGTTCCCACATATGCTGAGCACTTGTTGGCTGCTTTTCCTTCACTCTGCGGTCCAACTTATCCCAAACGTCTCAATTGGGTTGAGGTCGGGTGATTGTGGAGGCCAGGTCATCTGATGCAGCACTCCATCACTCTCTTTATTGGTCAAAAAGCCCTTACACAGCCTGGAGGTGTGTTGGGTCATTGTCCTGTTGAAAAACAAATGATAGTCCCAGTAAGCGCGAATTAGATGGGATGGCATATCACTGCAGAATGCTGTGGTAGCCATGCTGGTTAAGTGTGCCTTGAATTCTAAAAAATCACAGACAATGTTACCAGCAAAGCACCATCACACCACCACCTCCATGCTCCACACATGCAGAGAAAATCTGAAATTTGGACTCATCAGACCAAAGGACAGATTTCCATTGGTCTTATGTCTATTGCTCGTGTTTCTTGGCCTAAGCAAGTCTCTTCTTATTGGTATCCTTTAGTAGTGGTTTCTTTGCAGCAATTTGACCATGAAGGCCTGATTCACGCAGTCTCCTCTGAACAGTTGATGTTGAGATGTGTCTGTTACTTGAACTGAGTGAAGCATTTATTTGGGCTGCAATTTCTGAGGCTGGTAACTCTAATGAACTTATCCTCTGCAGCAGAGGTAACTCTGGGTCTTCATTTCCTGTGGTGGTCCTCATGAGAGCCAGTTTCATCATAGTGCTTGTTTTTTGCGACTGCACTTTAACAAACTTTCAAAGTTCTTGAGATTTTCCGGGTTTGACTGACCTTCATGTCTTAAAGTAATGATGGACTGTCGTTTCTCTTTGCTTATTTGAGCTGTTCTTGCCATAATATGGACTTGGTCTTTTACCAAATAGGGCTATCTTCTGTAATCCAGGCACTTGTCATCTCCCGTCTGGATTACTGCAACTCGCTGTTGGCTGGGCTCCCTGCCTGTGCCATTAAACCCCTGCAACTTATCCAGAACGCTGCAGCCCATCTGGTGTTCAACCTTCCCAAGTTCTCTCACGTCACCCCGCTCCTCCGCACACTCCACTGGCTTCCAGTTGAAGTTCGCATCTACTACAAAACCATGGTGCTTGCCTACGGAGCTGTGAGGGGAACAGCTCTGATCAGACCCTACACCCAAACGAGGGCACTACATTCATCCACCTCTGGCCTGCTAGCCCCCTACCTCTACGGAAGCACAGTTCACGCTCAGCCCAGTCAAAGCTATTCGCTGCTCTGGCACCCCAATGGTGGAACAAGCTCCCCCACGACCCCAGGACAGCGGAGTCACTGACCACCTTCCGGAGACACTTGAAACCCAACCTCTTTAAGGAATACCTGGAATAGTATAATAGTAATCCTTCTACCCCCCCTTTTACTACCACTGTCATTTGTCTAAACTAACACCTGACTTATTTCACCTGCTAGCACTGACTTGTTTAAAGAAATGTACTTATTGTGATTGAGATGTAGTTGTCCCTGATTGCACTGACTTTGCTCACAGCTGCTTGTTTGAAGAAGTGTACTTACTGTGATCAAGATGTGGTTGTCCCACTGGCTATCCTAAGTTGAATGCACCAATTTGTAAGTCGCTCTGGATAAGAGCGTCTGCTAAATTACTTAAATGTAAAAAATAACACCCCTAACCTTGTCACAACACAACTGATTGGCTCAAGCGCATTAAGAAGGAAAGATATTCCACAAATTAACTTTTAACAAGGCACACCTGTTAATTGAAATGCATTCCAGGTGACTACCTCTTGAAGCTGGTTGAGAGAATGCCAAGAGTGTGAAAAGCTGTCATCAAGGCAAAGGGTGGCTACTTTGAAGATTCTCAAGTATAAAATATAAATTGATTTGTTTAACACTTTTTTGGTTACTACATGATTCCATATGTGTTATTTCATAGTTTTGATGTCTTCACTATTATTCTACAATGTAGAAAATAGTAAAAACAAAGTAAATCCCTGGAATGAGTAGGTGTGTCCAAACTTTTGACTGGTACTGTATATTAATCCAATTTAAACGACATGGCTATATGTGTGCTGAGTAAATAGTTTGCTTAGAATTGCTGTACACAAAGTAACACAACAGTACCGGTAGTAAATTAAGTATTAATTTGTGAAAGTTTGTTTTTGTGTATGTTGAAGATGCTCCTCTTTCCCATCTCTCCTCTCCTCAGGAAATAGTCCAGCAGCTAATAGAGAACAGTACGACGTTCAGGGACAAGACTGAGTTTGCACAGGAGAAATACATCAAGAAAAAAAAGAAAAAGTGAGTCCGAGGAATGTAGGCCTGTACACTCCAGGACCAGGGTTAGTGATGAATGAAATGGGCTTTGTGGGTTCTGAATGTCTTGTGTTCTGTTCCCTCCAGGTATGAGAACAGTGTGATGGTTCTAAGGCCCTCTTGTCGTATCCTGGCTATGATGTACCACGGCAGAGAACCAGGGAAGATATGGTGAGTGAGATCACCAGAGGGACAGTCACTAGTAGGGCCTGATGGTTTTCCTGGCTAGGTCATGCAGTCAGGAAAACTTCTGTGCCCAAATTATGTTGTTATTGAGATAAGATTGTTGTTGTAACCCAGACTGTGTCTCTGCCTCTTCTCCTCTAGCCACCTGCGGTACGACACCCTAGCCCAGATGTTAACGCTGGGCAACATCCATGCAGGCAGTAAGGTGCTGGTGTTTGAGACCTGCGCTGGACTGGTGCTGGGGGCCGTCATAGAGAGGATGGGAGGTAACTGGACTATAGAAATACCATGTCTGGAAATATGGATAGAGTTGTCATGACCTGCATCTGAAATAGAACGCTAGCGTGGAACCCCGTATTATTGGCATATTCAACAGCGTTTAAGAAATATATTACCTTCAACAGTGTTATCTTGTGATCAAGCCATCAATGTTATGTGATTATTGGTGTCGTAAAAGTGTTAGCTAACGGGTTAGCAATTAGCAGGTTTGACATTTCAGTGGAAATACTACTATTATCAGCTTTTTGATAAGCGGTTTAGCAAATAAATACGTCCAGTATTATCGGCATACGGTCCCCAGTTATTGGCCACCTTACTATTTTGTTCATTTACAAGATATATCCGTTTAATTTCGTTCAAAAAAGAGACTCCAACCACGTACCCGAAGTGTTTACTAGATAATTGACTAGTTGGCTAGCCTTCCGGTAAAAAATAATGACTTGCCTGTCAACTTTTCATTGCGTAGCCCGGTGCGCCCTCCTGTGGACTCTTAAGAAATGGTTCTTCACCAACATATTCAGTGTTGTAACCAAATAATGTCTCATCATTTGTTTTACAGATTAATCTTATGCTTTGAGAAAGTAGATAACAGTTGAATACTAAAATATGAGTATTAATAATTTACATCAAATAAAACTTTAATTTCAGTAATGTGCATTGACATAAACAATTAAAATACTGTTGGAGTTTGTTGCAGAGGTGCACTTGGAAAGTAAAGGAAGAAATACACAAGATGGGTTGAATTAATATATATATACACTGCTCAAAAAAATAAAGGGAACACTTAAACAACACAATGTAACTCCAAGTCAATCACACTTCTGTGAAATCAAACTGTCCACTTAGGAAGCAACACTGATTGACAATACATTTCGCATGCTGTTGTGCAAATGGAATAGACAACAGGTGGAAATTATAGGCAATTAGCAAGACACCCCCAATAAAGGACTGGTTTTGCAGGTGGTGATCACAGACCACTTCTCAGTTCCTATGCTTCCTGGCTGATGTTTTGGTCACTTTTGAATGCTGGCGGTGCTTTCACTCTAGTGGTAGCATGAGACGGAGTCTACAACCCACACAAGTGGCTCAGGTAGTGCAGCTCATCCAGGATGGCACTTCAATGCGAGCTGTGGCAAGAAGGTTTGCTGTGTCTGTCAGCGTAGTGTCCAGAGCATGGAGGCGCTACCAGGAGACAGGCCAGTACATCAGGAGACGTGGAGGAGGCCGTAGGAGGGCAACAACCCAGCAGCAGGACTGCTACCTCCCCCTTTGTGCAAGGAGGAGCAGGAGGAGCACTGCCAGAGCCCTGCAAAATGACCTCCAGCAGGCCACAAATGTGCATGTGTCTGCTCAAACGGTCAGAAACAGACTCCATGAGGGTGGTATGAGGGCCCGACGTCCACTGGTGGGGGTTGTGCTTACAGCCCAACACCGTGCAGGACGTTTGGCATTTGCCAGAGAACACCAAGATTGGCAAATTCGCCACTGGCGCCCTGTGCTCTTCACAGATGAAAGTAGGTTCACACTGAGCACATGTGACAGATGTGACAGAGTCTGGAGACACCGTGGAGAACGTTCTGCTGCCTGCAACATCCTCCAGCATGACCGGTTTGGCGGTGGGTCAGTCATGGTGTGGGGTGGCATTTCTTTGGGGGGCCGCACAGCCCTCCATGTGCTCGCCAGAGGTAGCCTGACTGCCATTAGGTACCGAGATGAGATCCTCAGACCCCTTGTGAGACCATATGCTGGTGCGGTTGGCCCTGGGTTCCTCCTAATGCAAGACAATGCTAGACCTCATGTGGCTGGAGTGTGTCAGCAGTTCCTGCAAGAGGAAGGCATTGATGCTATGGACTGGCCCGCCCGTTCCCCAGACCTGAATCCAATTGAGCACATCTGGGACATCATGTCTCGCTCCATCCACCAACGCCACGTTGCACCACAGACTGTCCAGGAGTTGGCGGATGCTTTAGTCCAGGTCTGGGAGGAGATCCCTCAGGAGACCATCCGCCACCTCATCAGGAGCATGCCCAGGTGTTGTAGGGAGGTCATACAGGCACGTGGAGGCCACACACACTACTGAGCCTCATTTTTTCTTGTTTTAAGGACATTACATCAAAGTTGGATCAGCCTGTAGTGTGGTTTTCCACTTTTAATTTTGAGGGTGACTCCAAATCCAGACCTCCATGGGTTGATAAATTTGATTTCCATTGATCATTTTTGTGTGATTTTGTTGTCAGCACATTCAACTATGTAAAGAAAAAACTATTTAATAAGATTATTTCATTCATTCAGATCTAGGATGTGTTATTTTAGTGTTCCCTTCATTTTTTTGAGCAGTGTATTATATTTTAGACATTAATTTTTTTGTACAAATAAATAATTTCATATGAACACAAACAAAACAAAATATTAAATCTCGACCTCCATCACTATATTGTCACAAAAATCACAATAAAAATCCAGCTCCACCGCTACCTCTGGATCCCACTGCACACACCTGCAGTGGAACCAGTGCTGGCAGAAGTCACAGCACACCCATGGCACCTCGGATCTACACTCCTGAGGGGAGCTTGCAGGCGGATCACACTCCCCGCAGCGAGTACAGCAGGTGGTGTCTTCTTTTATAAAAAATAAAATAAGATAAAAAATTGATTAATATGGTTTTACAAAATGTAGAAGTTCTTCAACAACAATAGTAATTGATACAACTGAGAGAGAGAGAAAAACAGATTATGAAGTACCTGAGAGTGGTGGTGTGACAGACGTGACCGGTGGAGCTTTTCTCTTCCTTTTCTGTGCTGCAGTTTGAGAAAAAGTAGTGTTAGACAGAGCATGTTGCATGAAAACCCTTTTCAACTTATTTACATCAATACCTCTGGAGGAAGCTGCAGAGGTTTTTGGAGGAGGTGGAGATGACTAGAGTGCTGGTGCTATAGACTGTAGATATGTAAAGAGATTTTTTTTTTACATTGCTGTTTTTTAAAACAGATAAAAACAGTCATTTTTTTGTAATTGTTTACCTGTGGAGGTGGCGGTATTCAAATTACAGGGGGCAGGGACACCAGACGAGGCTGCTATGGTGGTGTGACCAGGGGAGATGGAGGAGGCAGTTGGTCCAGAGGAGGCCGTGTTGGTGGTGACAGACGGGGGGTGGTGTGCATTGGGGTGGTGGTGGACAAAACCGCCGACGATGGCTTGGAGGAGCTGGTGTTTGTAATGGTGGGGTTGAGGGGCCGACGATGGTGTGGCCGGGAGAGTAGGCACGTAGCCTTCTTCTGCAGCTGGGGACTCCGGCCGCTCCTACAGGTGTTGCACACTGGGAGGCACTGGCAGTGGTGATGCAGCTGTCAGGAGTGGTTCTAGCAGGGGGTCCACCAGAGGCGATGGCGTCAATGGTCTCATCCATGGCAGCCCTCTCCTGTGCCCTCTGTGTTCTGAGGGCTGCCCAACGCTCTTTCTCCTCTGCCTCGGCCCTCGGCCCTCTCCTTCTCACCCCTCTCCTGCCACTGGCGCGTGTATTCCTCCCCGGTGAGGCATGTGGCGACCACAGGGAGTCTTCTGTATCGGTCCAGCCGATACTTCAGGACAGTAAGGATGTGCCCCAGGTCCTTCGCTATCAGCCCCCCCCCTCTATTAGGGGGTGCTCTTCTGGGACTGGAGCAGGGGCTGGGAATGGAGCAGGGGCTGAGGGTCCTTCTGTGGTCACTGGGGAGGAGGTGCTGATGGACGGCACGGTGCTGCTGGTTCCAGGAGAGGCGGTGGTGGGACCCGGTAGGGACCGGGACGGCATTAAACGGGACCCTTCAATGGCTGAAGGGTCAAAAGGGAAGAGGCCACACTTCTTAAACCCTTCCACCACATACAGTGGGGAAAAAAGTATTTAGTCAGCCACCAATTGTGCAAGTTCTCCCACTTAAAAAGATGAGAGGCCTGTAATTTTCATCATAGGTACACGTCAACTGACAGACAAAATGTGAAAAAAATATCCAGAAAATCACATTGTAGGATTTTTTATGAATTTATTTGCAAATTATGGTGGAAAATAAGTATTTGGTCAATAACAAAAGTTTCTCAATACTTTGTTATATACCCTTTGTTGGCAATGACACAGGTCAAACGTTTTCTGTAAGTCTTCACAAGGTTTTCACACACTGTTGCTGGTATTTTGGCCCATTCCTCGATGCAGATCTCCTCTAGAGCAGTGATGTTTTGGGGCTGTCGCTGGGCAACACAGACTTTCAACTCCCTCCAAAGATTTTCTATGGGGTTGAGATCTGGAGACTGGCTAGGCCACTCCAGAACCTTGAAATGCTTCTTACGAAGCCACTCCTTCGTTGCCCGGGCGGTGTGTTTGGGATCATTGTCATGCTGAAAGACCCAGCCACATTTCATCTTCAATGCCCTTGCTGATGGAAGGAGGTTTTCACTCAAAATCTCACGATACATGGCCCCATTCATTCTTTCCTTTACAAGGATCAGTCGTCCTGGCCCCTTTGCAGAAAAACAGCCCCAAAGCATGATGTTTCCACCCCCATGCTTCACAGTAGGTATGGTGTTCTTTGGATGCAACTCAGCATTCTTTGTCCTCCAAACACGACGAGTTGAGTTTTTACCAAAAAGTTCTATTTTGGTTTCATCTGACCATATGACATTCTCCCAATCCTCTTCTGGATCATCCAAATGCACTCTAGCAAACTTCAGACGGGCCTGGACATGTACTGGCTTAAGCAGGGGGACACGTCTGGCACTGCAGGATTTGAGTCCCTGGCGGCGTAGTGTGTTACTGATGGTAAGCTTTGTTACTTTGGTCCCAGCTCTCTGCAGGTCATTCACTAGGTCCCCCCGTGTGGTTCTGGGATTTTTGCTCACCGTTCTTGTGATCATTTTGACCCCACGGGGTGAGATCTTGCGTGGAGCCCCTGATCGAGGGAGATTATCAGTGGTCTTGTATGTCTTCCATTTCCTAATAATTGCTCCCACAGTTGATTTCTTCAAACCAAGCTGCTTACCTATTGCAGATTCAGTCTTCCCAGCCTGGTGCAGGTCTACAATTTTGTTTCTGGTGTCCTTTGACAGCTCTTTGGTCTTGGCCATAGTGGAGTTTGGAGTGTGACTGTTTGAGGTTGTGGACAGGTGTCTTTTATACTGATAACAAGTTAAAACAGGTGCCATTAATACAGGTAACGAGTGGAGGACAGAGGAGCCTCTTAAAGAAGAAGTTACAGGTCTGTGAGAGCCAGAAATCTTGCTTGTTTGTAGGTGACCAAATACTTATTTTCCACCATAATTTGCAAATAAATTTATTAAAAATTAATGTGATTTTCTGGATTTTTTTTCCCTCAATTTGTCTGTCATAGTTGACGTGTACCTATGATGAAAATTACAGGCCTCTCTCATCTTTTTAAGTGGAAGAACTTGCACAATTGGTGGCTGACTAATACTTTTTTCCCCACTGCACATATATACATATCCTTTTTGAAAATATATTTCCCTTCATTACTTTCCAACCCCACCACCCCTTCCCTAATTGGAATAAACTACTGAACAACAATGCTTAGGCCTCTTCTACTTCAAGCTTATACATACTATATACATTTTATGGACACAGTCAATTTTACAATAATTATATTTTGTTTGTTTTTACTCCTGAACTTCCTCAACCTCTCCGATCATTTTCATGATGTCCATCCGGTTTGCTTCTATATGCCATATCGTTATAACTGTGCTCTTTCACAAAAGCTCTCAACCTATAACCTATATACTTATTATGGACACAGTATGCTTACATTATTAGTTATCTTGTTGTTATTAGTCCCATCTTTCAACTCCATTCAACACCACCCATCTATCTCTTAACACCATCCATATTGGATTTCTATTTGCCATATATTTTTCAACTGTACTGTGATGTTTTACAAAAAACAATATTGTTGGAAACAAAAATATTATTATATTATTGATCGATTGACTATGACTTTTCAGATCACCCAGTAATGCTATCTGCAGGGTTAGCTCCAGGTAAATATTGCAATCATTTAGCCATTCCTGGACCTGTGTCCAAAAACAAGCTACAAATGGACAGTACCAAAACAAATGATCTAATGATTCTGTCTCTTCGCAGCAAAATCTGCAGAGCTGGGAAGATTGTATATAAATAACATTCTATTGGTAGCAAGAATTTTATATAATCATTTTAATTGAAAAATTCTAAGCTTTGAATCCGGCGTCGTTTTGCATATCAGTTCATAAACACTATGCCATGGGATCGGTACGTCAAAAATCTCTTCCCAACTATTTTGCAATCTATATGGGACGGCTGTCATCCTTTGGTCCTTAAATGAAACTGGTATACTTTTTTATTTATCACAGTTTTCTTTAACCAATTATGTTCTTTAATGCAAGACCGACAGACAAGTTCCTTACTTTTCCCCCCTCCACTTTCCTCTTCCATTTTTGCGGTAAGGCTGCAATTATTTGGTTGTAATTTTGGGTAGAGCAGACATTTCCATATGTTTTTGTTAGCTGCGTGTGCGACATAACTCAACCAGTCAAGATTATACCTTTTTTAAACATTTTGTAAAAAAAAAAAAGGTTTCTTATCAATTAGCATATTTGAGTTTAACCACAATATTTGTTGCATTATTTGTTCTGTCGTTTCTGGAGGATTACATTTAAATTGCAACCAACTTTCTATGGTTGTTTTAGAAATAGTGATATTTGGGAGATGATTTCCTTTTCAAATAACTGAAAGGGAGAGGTTGTAATCTGAATAAAGGGAAAAAAATATTATTTTAGCGACTGTTCAAGCAATAATCAAAACAACACTGTAAGCCGATGAGAACCCAAAAAAGTGTTTGTTTAGATGTAATAACTACATAAATCTAGATTTAATGGATCTTGAATGGGCACAGATGGCGAACAGCAGTGGTTTTCCCTCAAGATGGGAATGGTTTAGGGGACTACTTCTTCATGACGTGAATAGCAAGTACACTATATATACAAAAGTATGTGGACACACCTTTAAATTATTGGATTCGGCTATTTCGGCCACACCCGTTGCTGACAGGTGTATAAGTTTGAGCACACAGCCATGCAATCTCCATAGAAATGCATTGGCAGTAGAATGGCCTTACTGAAGAGCTCAGTGCCAAGCGTCAGCTGGAGTGGTGTAAAGCTCGCCGCCATTGGACTCTGGACCAGTGGAAACGCGTTCTCTGGAGTGAGGAATCACGCTTCACCATCTGGCAGTCTGACGGACGAATCTGGGTTTGGCGGATGCCAGGAGAACGCTACCTGCCTAAATGCATAGTGCCAACTGTAACGTTTGGTGGAGGAGGAATAATGGTAATGGTTCGGACTAGGCCAGTGAAGGGAAGGAAATCTTAACGCCACAGCATACAATGACATTCTAGATTATTCTGTGCTTCCAACTTTGTGGCAGCAGTTTGGGGAAGGCCCTTTCCTGTTTCAGCATGACAATGCCCCCGTGCACAAAGCGAGGTCCACAGAAATGGTTTGTCGACATCGGTGTGGAAGAACTTGACTGGCCTGCACAGAGCCCTGAGCTCAACTCCATCGAACACCTTTGGGATGAATTGGAACGCCGACCTCACTAATGCTCTTGTGGCTGAATGGAAGCAAGTCCCGGCACCAATGTTCCAACATCTAGTGGAAAGCCTTCCCAGAAGAGTGGAGGCTGTTATAGCAGCAAAGGGGGGACCAACTCCATATTAATGCCCATGATTTTGGAATGAGATGTTCGACGAGCAGGTGTCCACATACTTTCGGTCATGTAGTGTATATCAGCAGTCAACATTTTATGTAATACATTTCTATCGGAATGTCCTGTAATGTTGCATTCATCTGAAGACAACCAAACAGACACATCCATCTTCACATTGTGTCTCTCTCCTCTCTCCTCCAGGCTATGGGTCAGTGGTGCAGATGTACCCAGGAGGAGGTCCTGTGAGGGCGGGGGTAGAGAGCTTTGGGTTCCCCTCCCACTTCCACGACACGCTCCATGAGTTTCCCATCTGTCACGTCAACGCACTGCTGGCAGGGACACTGGACACGGAGGCCAAAGACATAGACACAAGTGTGTGGGATATAATCCTTTGACAGACCAACAATGCCATACTGTCTCATCTATTGAATTGATTGATATATTGTCACAACTCTAGATGCTGGACAGGCCAATGGGGACAAGTCCAACCTGACCCAGACTGACCCAGAGAAGGCAGAAGGCAAGGGGGGCAGTCCAGACACAGAAGACCAGAGTATGGAGACTAGTACCAGTACAGACCCTGCCGAGGACAAGGAGAGAGAGGAGAGGGAGAAACGCAGAGAGATCAGAGTATGACAACACATAGTGAAGCAGCAAGTAGTCTCTGTTATTTGTGTCACTTCCTGGTGCTTGTGTGCTCCAAAGATTTAAACTGTGTACAATTGACAAGCAACTGTATGTTGTGTTTCAGGCCCAGGAGAAGATTGTGAAGACTGAGGAGAAGAGGAAGAAACTATCTGCTGCTGCCGGCGTGCTGAAGGGGAGGAACGCTGACGGGTCAGTCTGTTCTTTCCTCTCTCTCACCTCCTTCAATTAGTTTTAATGACACTAGGTTACAGAGTGAATTCTAGAACTCTAAACCATTCATGTGCTGTTAATAGACATGTATAAGCAGTAATAAACTGTATAACAGCTTTTTGGCACTAAGATTACACACCCCTGACAGTTTCTACTCTGTCGTGGTGTTGCCTGTTGGTGTTGTCTTGCGCTGTCTGAAATCAGTCAAACATGTCAATGTTAACATCTTCATTTCAACACAAGAGGAACAAAAGATGATTGCTTAGCAGTAATCTTGATCCGAAGTGAGATAGGTGTGACATGTCTAGTTAAAGATGATTGATGTTGGGGCCTACAGCAGATGTCATCTGAACCCATGATTATTGATTGGTTTGTTGAGGAATTGGGGGAAGCTCATGTTTCTCCAGGTCACCTTTAACATGTAAACAACTAGTCTACATCCCTAGTCTTTCTCTACACCTGAGTTCCGATACTTTCAACAGGCCTTCTTCCATCCTCCCTTCTTTGAAGTAATTACTAATCTCACGAAATTGGTTAGGTGAAAGCAACAGTTCTACTGTCTAGTTCTACAGTATATCTCTGGTTCTCCTCCTCAGGTTGGTGATAGCCAGTCGGTTCCACCCCTGTCCAGTTCTACTGGGTTCTACTGTCTAGTTCTACAGTATATCTCTGGTTCTCCTCCTCAGATTGGTGATAGCCAGTCGGTTCCACCCCTGTCCAGTTCTACTGGGCCTCATCAAGTTCCTCGCCCCCTCCAGGCCCTTTGTAGTGTACTCTCAATACAAAGAGGTATGCATTTGAGTGTTCTCTAGTATGCTTCCTAGTGTGCTCTAGTGTGTCTTGTGTACTTAATTAAGTAGTGTATTAAATAAGCTTGTTACTTTATTACTGTTATTATTGTTTCTAGTAGACCCTAGTGTACTGCCATTTATACAGAAGTACATTTATTGTCTTTCTCCAGTGGGTAATTGCTCAGTGATATAAGTCTGTAGTCTAGTCTGTATTAGGAGTTCTCACCGCTGTCATGTTCACTCTGTTGCTCTTCTGTGGTTACTAAAACTCTTGTCATTTCTGTCTGTCTCTCTCTCTTCTACAGCCTCTGATAGAGTGCTATTCAAAGCTCAGGGAACAAGGCGGAGCAGTCAGCCTGCGACTCACCGATTCATGGATCAGACATTACCAGGTATAAGCATCAAACTGTACAACGGTCCCTGTGGAAGCGTCCATGTTTGTAGTACCAGCACTAGCTTTGACCTCTGACCTCTTCTTGTCTCTGTGTGTAGGTCTTGCCTAACAGGACGCACCCCATGCTGCTAATGAGTGGGGGCGGGGGCTACATCCTCTCCGGGACAACAGTTGCTACGGATACGACTAAAGCGAAGACCTGCTCAACAACCGCAGAAGAGCCGGCCGCAAAGAGACTGAAACTCACAGAGACCACAGAGGGATGACAGTTAGACTATTGAGGGGTGCCCATAGGTTGTGGAATTTAAATCATTGATGACTTGATATATGTGTACTTGTGGAGGTGGGGATAGAATCACTAAAATCTCTCTCCCTCCTCCTGAGACCAGTTATAAACTATCATGGCTGTTATTCAGCACTGGAGCTGCTCTCCAAAGCTCTAAGCTCCCAAATGCAGCATTTTGTTTGTATTTAATATTATTTTAGCAGAAAAGTGCCATGTGATGATGTAAAGCAGCCATTTGCTATCACAGCCTCGTAACTGTACTGCATCTGTGAATTTCAATAAATACAGTGCTGTTAAAATACTATTACTCTTGAAAACCAACTCTGTTCCTGTGGTATTAAAATCCTGAGATACGTGTTAGAATAATTCATTTAATTAAATGCAGACTGAAGAAACAAACAAACAACCATTCAAAAGTTTGAACAAAACTGTTACGCATACTTTAAATATATAGAAATCTGGACAAATTAGCAAAGCATATATCTTTATACTATTATACTTATATATTATCTAATATAAACTAAACAGTCTCCATGCTGATTCTTTTGATAACATCAACATTTCACAGGTACAAAGGTTAACACAGCAGAATTTGCGGCAAGGCTCTTAGATGTTTGTATGTTTTTTAGTCAGGAATGCTGACGGATCAGTCTACAGCTCTCTTTTTAGTATTTTGTTACACAAGGTTAGCCCACTGAGATAGTAGCTTAGCATCCCTGTCTGTCTGCCTCTGCCTGTCCTCTATCTAGTCACTCCTGTTCTCATTCATCTTCTGAGATATCTTCTGTAGCTCCATGTCCATAGCTGCTATGTTCTCCAGCTCCTTCTCCTGAAAACACACAGACAGCATTATTACTGCTAAATACACTGAACAAAAATATAAACGCAACATGTAAAGTGTTGGTCCCATGTTTCATGAGCTGAAATAAAAGATTAATGAAACTGGGTTTGTGCAACCAAAGAGTTTCTGCACAAACTGTCAGAAACCGTCTCAGGGATGCTCATCTGCGTGCTCGTCGTCCTCACAAAGGTGTTGACCTGACTGCAGTTCGGCGTCGTAACCAACTAGTGGGCTCACCTTTGATGGCCACTGGCACGCTGGAGAAGTATGCTCTTCACGGATTAATCCCGGTTTCAACTTTATCGGGCAGATGGCAGACACTGTGTATGACGTCGTGTGGGCGATGTTTGCTGATGTCAATGTTGTGAACAGAGGCCCCATTGTGGCAGTGGGGTTATGGAATAGGCAGGCATAAAACTACATACAATGAACACAATAGCATTTTATCAATTCACAGAGATACCGTGAAGAGATCATGAGGTCCATTGTCATGACATTAATCCGCCTCCATCACCTCTTGTTTCAGCATGATAATGTACAGTCCCCATGTCGCAAGGATCTGTACACAATTCCTGGAAGCTGAAAATGTCCCAGTTCTTCCATGACCTGCATACTCACCAGACATGTCACCCATTGAGCATTTTGGGGATGCTCTGGATCGACCTGAATGACAGCGTGTTCCAGTTCCCAACAATATCCAGGAACTTCGCACAGCCATTGAAGAGGAGTGGGACAACATTCTACAGGCCACAATCAACAGTCTCATCATGAGGCAAATGGTGGTCACACCAGATACTGACTGGTTTTCTGATCCACGCCCCTACCTTTTTTTAAAGGTATCTCTGACCAACAGATGCATATCTGTATTCCCAGCCATGTAAATCCATAGATTCGTGCCTAATTTATTTATTTTAATTTCCTTATATGAACTGTAACTCAGTAAAATCTTTGCAATTGTTACATGTTGCGTTTATTTTTGTTCAGTGTAGCTTCATTTTGGCCTCTATCCAAGGAAGAAAGAACACATTGGTAATAGTGTGAAACCTCACAAAACAGCATTTATTGTGTGTATTGATCCCTTCTGTCAAAGTGCAAGCCCTTCAATTAAACCCCTTGCTCTTGGAATCTGACTATCCCCTTAATTAGCCACTACTTTCCCTGGATCTTAAAACAGTCAATAGTGTAGATATTCCCACTACCGGAGTCCCATTGTAGGGGATGCTGCTGCAGTGTAGTCTGAAGACTGTCAGGATGAAAAAGAATACCCTAGAGTCATCCTTTCTCCCCCCTCCCCATTGTATTTCTTCGATCCAGAGCAAGTGGCATGATAGAGAGTTTATACCCGGGCCGGCCACTATCAGCTCTAATAGGGGTGGGTTGTGAGGGGATGTAATAACTTAGGTTTTGGTGCAATCGCTGCTGCAGCCAATAAAACCATGGGAGCAAGAGAGGGAGAGAGAGAGAGAGGAAAAATTGTAACATTCTTCTCTGCAGCTAGATGCACATTCTCAAAACCTGTCATTTTATTGCTTGCAGATGAATCCCACAGTGCAGAGGACACCATTTCTTTCAGGGACACACATCTCTTGTTTAGCCTACTATCTCTCATCACTTTGAAGACTGTCAGTGCCAAAGAACAATGAGTTGCAGAATAATATATTCATTACATTATTAATTTGCTTTGTGAGCCACCTCCACTATCTAGCAGGACATGCTTGGCGTCAAAGGGGGCCTTTCTCTTTATGCATTTGTACCTACGCTCATTCACACACAGGCTGTTTCCGTTGTAGAATATCAAGGCTCATTTTGAGTTGTGAAGCCTCAACCAGAGCCAGGTCTCCTAGAGATAAGCATATGGCTTCTGCATGGTTATGTAGAAGAGAGGGTATAGTCTCTTCCCACAGCAGACTACAGAGAGGGTAGAGTCTCTTCCCACAGCAGACTACAGAGAGGGTAGAGTCTCTTCCCACAGCAGACTACAGAGAGGGTAGTCTCTTCCCACAGCAGACTACAGAGAGGGTAGAGTCTCTTCCCACAGCAGACTACAGAGAGGGTAGTCTCTTCCCACAGCAGACTACAGAGAGGTTAGAGTCTCTTCCCACAGCAGACTACAGAGAGGTTAGAGTCTCTTCCCACAGCAGACTACAGAGAGGTTAGAGTCTCTTCCCACAGCAGACTAGAGAGAGGGTAGTCTCTTCCCACAGCAGACTACAGAGAGGTTAGAGTCTCTTCCCACAGCAGACTACAGAGAGGGTAGTCTCTTCCCACAGCAGACTACAGAGAGGTTAGAGTCTCTTCCCACAGCAGACTACAGAGAGGGTAGTCTCTTCCCACAGCAGACTACAGAGAGGTTAAGTCTCTTCCCACAGCAGACTACAGAGAGGTTAGAGTCTCTTCCCACAGCAGACTAGAGAGAGGGTAGTCTCTTCCCACAGCAGACTACAGAGAGGTTAGAGTCTCTTCCCACAGCAGACTACAGAGAGGTTAGAGTCTCTTCCCACAGCAGACTACAGAGAGGGTAGTCTCTTCCCACAGCAGACTACAGAGAGGGTAGTCTCTTCCCACAGCAGACTACAGAGAGGTTAGAGTCTCTTCCCACAGCAGACTACAGAGAGGGTAGAGTATCTTCCCACAGCAGACTACAGAGAGGTTAGAATCTCTTCCCACAGCAGACTACAGAGAGGGTAGAGTCTCTTCCCACAGCAGACTACAGAGAGGTTAGAGTCTCTTCCCACAGCAGACTACAGAGAGGGTAGTCTCTTCCCACAGCAGACTACAGAGAGGGTAGAGTCTCTTCCCACAGCAGACTACAGAGAGAGTAGAGTCTCTTCCCACAGCAGACTACAGAGAGGGTAGAGTATCTTCCCACAGCAGACTACAGAGAGGGTAGTCTCTTCCCACAGCAGACTACAGAGAGGTTAGAGTCTCTTCCCACAGCAGACTACAGAGAGGGTAGAGTCTCTTCCCACAGCAGACTACAGAGAGGGTAGTCTCTTCCCACAGCAGACTAAAGAGAGGTTAGAGTCTCTTCCCACAGCAGACTACAGAGAGGGTAGAGTCTCTTCCCACAGCAGACTACAGAGAGGTTAGAGTCTCTTCCCACAGCAGACTACAGAGAGGTTAGAGTCTCTTCCCACAGCAGACTACAGAGAGGTTAGAGTCTCTTCCCACAGCAGACTACAGAGAGGTTAGAGTCTCTTCCCACAGCAGACTACAGAGAGGGTAGAGTCTCTTCCCACAGCAGACTACAGAGAGGGTAGTCTCTTCCCACAGCAGACTAAAGAGAGGTTAGAGTCTCTTCCCACAGCAGACTACAGAGAGGTTAGAGTCTCTTCCCACAGCAGACTACAGAGAGGTTAGAGTCTCTTCCCACAGCAGACTACAGAGAGGGTAGAGTCTCTTCCCACAGCAGACTACAGAGAGGGTAGTCTCTTCCCACAGCAGACTAAAGAGAGGTTAGAGTCTCTTCCCACAGCAGACTACAGAGAGGGTAGAGTCTCTTCCCACAGCAGACTACAGAGAGGTTAGAGTCTCTTCCCACAGCAGACTACAGAGAGGTTAGAGTCTCTTCCCACAGCAGACTACAGAGAGGTTAGAGTCTCTTCCCACAGCAGACTACAGAGAGGTTAGAGTCTCTTCCCAAAGCAGACTACAGAGAGGTTAGTCTCTTCCCACAGCAGACTACAGAGAGGTTAGAGTCTCTTCCCACAGCAGACTACAGAGAGGTTAGAGTCTCTTCCCAAAGCAGACTACAGAGAGGTTAGAGTCTCTTCCCACAGCAGACTACAGAGAGGTTAGAGTCTCTTCCCACAGCAGACTAAAGAGAGGGTAGAGTCTCTTCCCACAGCAGACTACAGAGAGGTTAGAGTCTCTTCCCAAAGCAGACTACAGAGAGGGTAGAGTCTCTTTCCACAGCAGACTACAGGGAGGTTAGAGTCTCTTCCCAAAGCAGACTACAGAGAGGGTAGAGTCTCTTCCCACAGCAGACTACAGAGAGGTTAGAGTCTCTTCCCACAGCAGACTACAGAGAGGTTAGAGTCTCTTCGCAAAGCATACTACAGAGAGGTTAGTCTCTTCCCACAGCAGACTACAGAGAGGTTAGAGTCTCTTCCCACAGCAGACTACAGAGAGGGTAGAGTCTCTTCCCACAGCAGACTACAGAGAGGTTAGAGTCTCTTCCCACAGCAGACTACAGAGAGGTTAGAGTCTCTTCCCACAGCAGACTACAGAGAGGTTAGAGTCTCTTCCCACAGCAGACTACAGAGAGGTTAGAGTCTCTTCCCACAGCAGACTACAGAGAGGTTAGAGTCTCTTCCCACAGCAGACTACAGAGAGGTTAGAGTCTCTTCCCACAGCAGACTACAGAGAGGTTAGAGTCTCTTCCCACAGCAGACTACAGAGAGGTTAGAGTCTCTTCCCACAGCAGACTACAGAGAGGTTAGAGTCTCTTCCCACAGCAGACTACAGAGAGGTTAGAGTCTCTTCCCACAGCAGACTACAGAGAGGTTAGAGTCTCTTCCCACAGCAGACTACAGAGAGGGTAGTGTCTCTTCCCACAGCAGACTACAGAGAGGGCAACATCCAATTTTGGACCGATTCATCATTTTCCTGGCTTGCAAAAGGTTTTCTTACTTCAAAACAAAAACAGGATTTTGGTGTCTGTTTATAAGAGCATAAAACATCCAAAACCTTGTGATATGTCATCTTTCAAGAGATCTTATCTGACAAGTTGAAGAGGATGCTTACGACATAGTAATTCACCATTTAATTGTTCTGTGTCATGTCATGTTTCGTAAAGGTTATTTGTGATGCTCAAATGTTACCTCCTCTGGGGTTAGAGATAAACTCTTCTTCTTTTCCTCCTCCGCCGGTTCTGATTGACTGGCCAGCTGGGGATCCTTATAGGTCAGCAGCTTCGCCAGTTCCTCCATCTTTGCCAATCAAATCACATCACACTTTAGTGTATTAAACCATCTCTATACAATTAACAATCAAAATAAACCATTGATAAGCATAACGATAGATTAATATAGGTCCCGATTTAAATGACGTGTAGCTCATAAAGGCTTCAGAAAGCCTTCATAAACGCTACATAAATGTGTCACAAATCATCTATAACTGTATGTCATGCACTATAAAGGGATCATAAATGTGGCATAACTGTGTGACATAACCACCAATGTCAAATATGACATAAACCTGTGCTTTATAAAAGGTGGCACAAGCACCGATTAATAAAGGCTTTATAAATCATATTAAATTGAGGCTTCACAAAGCATTTATAACCTTGTCATGCATCTTGGTAGAGCATTGCAATGCCAGGATAGTGAGTTCGATTGCCGAGACCACCCATACATAAAAATGTATGCATGTATGACTGTAAGTCGCTTTGGATAAAAGCGTCTACTAAATTGTATATATTATATTACTCTAAAACATTTATAGAATGGCCCAACCTCTTTCCCTAATGAAGGCCAAGTTTTATGTGTTGGTCCAGTAGACGTTCCGTGCATTTGGGCGGTGTCTTGGAACGAGATTAGGTGTAATGTCACTAACATGACTTCACTTTGGAGCGTGTTAAATCCTTCAGCACAACATGTCACCCTTTATAAAGCACAGGTATATATCATATATATCTCCGGCGCGGCTCACTCCTGGATTGCGTCCTACCTGACCGGTCGCTCCTACCAAGTGGCGTGGCGAGAAGCTGTCTCCGCACCACGTGCTCTCACCACTGGTGTCCCCCAGGGCTCAGTTCTAGGCCCTCTCCTTTTCTCCCTATACACCAAGTCACTTGGCTCTGTCATATCCTCACATGGCCTCTCCTATCATTGCTACGCTGACGATACACAACTAATCTTCTCCTTTCCCCCTTCTGATAACCAGGTGGCGAATCGCATCTCTGCATGTCTGGCAGACATATCAGTATGGATGACGGATCACCACCTCAAGCTGAACCCTGGCAAGACGGAGCTGCTCTTCCTCCCGGGGAAGGACTGCCCGTTCCATGATCTCGCCATCACGGTTGACAACTCCGCTGTGTCCTCCTCCCAGAGTGCGAAGAGCCTAGGCGTGACCCTGGACAACACCCTGTCGTTCTCCGCCAACATCAAGGCGGTGACCCACTCCTGCAGGTTCATGCTCTACAACATTCGGAGAGTACGACCCTGCCTTACACAGGAAGCGGCACAGGTCCTAATCCAGGCACTTGTCATCTCCCGTCTGGACTACTGCAACTCGCTGTTGGCTGGCCTCCCTGCCTGTGCCATCAAACCCCTACAACTCATCCAGAATGCCGCAGCCCGTCTGGTGTTCAACCTTCCCAAGTTCTCTCACGTCACCCCCCTCCTCCGCACACTCCACTGGCTTCCAGTTGAAGCTCGCATCCGCTACAAGACCATGGTGCTTGCCTATGGAGCAGTGAGGGGAACGGCACCTCTGTACCTTCGGGCTCTGATCAGTCCCTACACCCAAACGAGGGCATTGCGTTCATCCACCTCTGGCCTGCTGGCTCCCCTTCCTCTGCGGAAGCATAGTTCCCGCTCAGCCCAGTCAAAACTGTTCGCTGCTCTGGCACCCCAATGGTGGAACAAGCTCCCTCACGACGCCAGGACAGCGGAGTCACTCACCACCTTCCGGAGACATTTGAAACCCCACCTCTTTAAGGAATACCTGGGATAGGATAAAGTAATCCTTCTACCCCCCCCCCCCCCCCCCCCCCCCAAAAAAAAAAAAATAATAATTGTAAAGTGATTATCCCACTGGCCATAGGGTGAACGCACCAATTGGTGAGTCGCTCTGGATAAGAGCGTCTGCTAAATGACGTAAATGTGCCCTTGAGCAAGGCACTTAACCCTAATTGCTCCTGTAAGTCGCTCTGGATAAGAGCGTCCGCTAAATGACTAAAATGTAAATGTAAATATTTGACATTTGGTATTTGGTATCTTATTAGGATCCCCATTACCTGTTGCAAAAGCAGCAGCTACTCTTCCTGGGATCCACGACATTGGTGATTATGTCACACAGTTATGCCACATTTATTAACCCTTCATAAAGCATGACATACAGTTATAGAGGCTTTGTAGCACGTTTATGTAGTGCTTATAAAGGCATTGTGAAGGCTTTATGAAGCCTTTATAAGCTGAACGTGATTTAAAGTAGGACCTTAATATATAAATGATTAAAGAACAATAAAAGTGATTGAAAAAATCATGAAATAGCTCAAACTATACAAACTAATACAGCAGTAGTCCAGTCTAACGAGGTATGTTATAATAGGTTGTACATAGAAACCTTATGCGATGGTGTGTGTGGCTCTGTACTTCTCTTCCACCAGGCGGGGTGGTAGTATCCTCTGTAAGCCCATGGAGTACGTTTCTCATACACCTCGCCCTCCCCCAGGAAACGACTCTCCACCTCACTCCTCTTCTCCGCCAGGTATCTGTCACACAAACACCAGCACAACTTATGCTCAGGGCCGGTTTCCCGGACACAGATTAAGCCAAGTCCTTGGTCTCAAAAGCATGTGTCTAAAATGTCCTTTGGTAACATTTTTATGGTTGAAGATTTATAGCCTGGAAAACAGTTTCTGAAAGGAAAATATATGAATACATAGATACAGTACATACCTCAGAGCCTCCTGCCTATCCCTCTCTCTCTCCTCCTCCTCCTCCTCCTCGGCATCTCCGTGCCTCTTCTCCTCCTCGTGTTCATTGGAATCGCTCCTTCGTTCCTCTTCTTCCTCCTCTGAGGAATCCCCATTGCGTTTGTGATGCTTCTTGTGGTGGTACCTGTGAGTTGGTTTCCAAATCCTCTTCTCTCTGTCATCCTCATCCTCCTCTCTCTTCTCCTTTTCATCTCCCAGACTCCAGGACTCTTGGCTGCGTTCCTCATCTGGCTCTTCTCTCACTTCCTCTAAACCCTCTTCATCTCGTTTGTGGTGTTTCTTTGGGGTGTACCGATAGGTAGGCCTATATCGCTTCTCCTTCTCATTGCCCAGGCTCCAGGATTCCTGACTACGTTCCTCATCTGGCTCTTCTCTCTCTTCCTCTAAACCCTCTTCATCTCGTTTGTGGTGTTTCTTTGGGGTGTACCGATAGGTAGGCCTATATCGCTTCTCCTTCTCATTGCCCAGGCTCCAGGATTCCTGACTACGTTCCTCATCTGGCTCTTCTCTCACTTCCTCTAAACCCTCTTCATCTCGTTTGTGGTGTTTCTTTGGGGTGTACCGATAGGTAGGCCTATATCGCTTCTCCTTCTCATTGCCCAGGCTCCAGGATTCCTGACTACGTTCCTCATCTGGCTCTTCTCTCTCTTCCTCTAAACCCTCTTCATCTCGTTTGTGGTGTTTCTTTGGGGTGTACCGATAGGTAGGCCTATATCGCTTCTCCTTCTCATTGCCCAGGCTCCAGGATTCCTGACTACGTTCCTCATCTGGCTCTTCTCTCACTTCCTCTAAACCCTCTTCATCTCGTTTGTGGTGTTTCTTTGGGGTGTACCAATAGGTAGGCCTATATCTCTTCTCCTTCTCATTGCCCAGGCTCCAGGATTCCTGACTACGTTCCTCATCTGGCTCTTCTCTCTCTTCCTCTAAACCCTCTTCATCTCGTTTGTGGTGTTTCTTTGGGGTGTACCGATAGGTAGGCCTATATCTCTTCTCCTTCTCATTGCCCAGGCTCCAGGATTCCTGACTACGTTCCTCATCTGGCTCTTCTCTCTCTTCCTCTAAACCCTCTTCATCTCGTTTGTGGTGTTTCTTTGGGGTGTACCGATAGGTAGGCCTATATCTCTTCTCCTTCTCATTGCCCAGGCTCCAGGATTCCTGACTATGTTCTTCGTCCGGGTCTTCTCTCACTTCCTCAGAAACCTCCTCATCACGTTTGTGATTGGGTTTCTTATGATGATACCTGTGCGTTGGTTTCCAAATCCTTTTCTCCTTCTCGTCGTTGAGGTCCCATGACTCCTGGCTGCGTTCTTCGTCCTCAGGTCTCTCTCTCTTCTCCTCCACAGACTTCAGGAGGGCCTCGATGTCTTTCACGTTGGCCCCTGGAACCTCAGGCTCAGGTTCAGGACCTTTGCCCTCCTCTTCATGGGTCTGCACCTCATCATTTTTCTTCTCCACAGGAGCAGCATGTTGGACACCTGTACAGGAGGTGGAAAGAGAAGAGACACTCAAAGGGCATTCAATAGTGTATTGACAATATCCACAGTTTCTACTACTCTGTCATTGTCTAATGTTGTCCAATTCAAGCCCCGCTCTGCAAGTTCCCCCTCAATTAAAACATTACAGAGACAGAAGAGCTACTCAGAGGCACTGGCACTTTTGTTCCAGCCCTGCACTGACACCTGATTCAACTAATCAGCTACTCATAGACCCTTGATTAGTTAATTTAGGTGACCATTGTAAAATGGCACTCAACAGTGTATGGAGAAAGCCCAGGCATTATCTGTCTCCCATAGTGGCATATTTAAATTCAGCTAAGTAGAATTTTCATCAATACAGAAGCGAATGCTAATCTAGGTTACTGGCTCCCGTGTAGCTCAGTGGTAGAGCATGGCGTTTGCAACGCCAGGGTTGTGGGTTCGTTTTCCATGGGGGGCCAGTATGAAGAATGTATGCACTCACTAACTGTAAGTCGCTCTGGATAAGAGCATCTGCTAAATGACAAATGTAGGTTTCTCTATTCATATCTCCTCAGCTAGTTGCCAGGCTGTAGCTCTACATCTCTATTCTCTGTGGTAGCCTCAGCTGGTTGCCAGGTTGTAGCTCTACATCTCTATTCTCTGTGGTAGCCTCAGCTGGTTGCCCGGTTGTAGCTCTACATCTCTATTCTCTGTGGTAGCCTCAGCTGGTTGCCAGGTTGTAGCTCTACATCTCTATTCTCTGTGGTAGCCTCAGCTGGTTGCCAGGTTGTAGCTCTACATCTCTATTCTCTGTGGTAGCCTCAGCTGGTTGCCAGGTTGTAGCTCTACATCTCTATTCTCTGTGGTAGCCTCAGCTGGTTGCCAGGTTGTAGCTCTACATCTCTATTCTCTGTGGTAGCCTCAGCTGGTTGCCAGGTTGTAGCTCTACATCTCTATTCTCTGTGGTAGCCTCAGCTGGTTGCCAGGTTGTAGCTCTACATCTCTATTCTCTGTGGTAGCCTCAGCTGGTTGCCAGGTTGTAGCTCTACATCTCTATTCTCTGTGGTAGCCTCAGCTGGTTGCCAGGTTGTAGCTCTACATCTCTATTCTCTGTGGTAGCCTCAGCTGGTTGCCAGGTTGTAGCTCTACATCTCTATTCTCTGTGGTAGCCTCAGCTGGTTGCCAGGTTGTAGCTCTACATCTCTATTCTCTGTGGTAGCCGAAGCCCCACTGAGTCCTGTGACCTACAGCATTAACCCTGTGTAATATTACTGTCAAGCGAGATGGTCCACTCCCGTCAAAATCTGTCCACGTGGCAATACAGCAATAAGCAGACCGATAAGCAGGCCACCTGCCTTCCCGCCTTTGGGACAATGACTCCCATTGTTAGGGCTGGGACAAGACCATTTCGTCATTATATACAGTACTGGTATCTCTGGTTGTACTCATTCTTTCACCATCTCTGCCTCCAGTCAACATGGGGGCTGCATCTCAATAGTCTAAAGTGGCTTCATCTGCTCGTCTCCTTTCCTTAATTTCCATTGACATTACAGAGAAAGACAGGTGAAAGTGATGTATTGGTAGCATCACAGCAGACCAACATATTACATTTTAGTCATTTAGCAGATGCTCTTATGCAGAGCAACTTACAGTTAGTACATTAATATTAAGATAGCTAGGTGGGACAACCACATTTTTCCTCAATAAAGTAGCTATCAGCAAAGTCAGTGCTAGTGGAGGGGCAGGGGGCTAGGGAATCAAGTGCAAGTGTTCATTTATGAAAGGCAAGTGCAAGGTTCATTAACCCCAGTCTTGTAAACAAACACTTGCTTTCACAGTTTCTGAAATGATATGATGCTATCTTTTCACAATCCTTATTATATGCTGCTTTTGAAATACAACAACTAATAATGTAAAGACTACTTGCCTGCTTTGAGAATATCTTTGCATTCCTGATCCAGAGGGTGAGAGTCAGGTTTGGTGAGTGCTTTGGACAGGACCTCAACCAAGCACCGTGTTACCTGAAATACAGTAACCAACAACCTGTCACGATTCTCATTAAAGCATACAGTGCAATTTGAGTTACATAATAAAGCTATTTCTTTTCAATTTGAGTTATTCAACAAGAGACAAAAAACATGTTCCGTACCACATCTTCTCGCTGTCGTTCTTTTCCAACGGGAAGTGATAGATGTTCTGTAAATTCGTGAGAAAATGGGTCAGAATGTGGTTCTGTGTTGAAAATAACTTCTCCATAACGATCGGGTATTACATTCCATTTAGTTTTGCAAAATAAATATTTGATACAGATGAGCAATTATAAAAACATTACTCTCACGCAGTGGCGCTCTCCGTAGTTCTGAAACACGTTACAGTACACGCAACCCCTACAGTACACGCACAATGAAACATATTGAATTTACCCATAGCTTACCCGCAAAGAAAGACGCAACCACAACAAAAACAAACACAAGTTTCATCATGGAAGAATTAGAATATCTCCCCGTAGAAATGACATAAGAAAGAGCTGATAACTAAGGCAAAAACTCAAAACACAGCACCGCCAAGCCAGCTCCCGTTCTCCATCCGTCCGTATAGGAGCGGTTGTGTGGGTTCTGCTGCGGTAGCTGGACGCTTGTTGTCTGAGAAGTAGGGGGAGGCACACCATATATCAGGACTGAACTGGAAGAGGTGTAGGAGGGATGTGGGCGTCACCTGCGTCATTATTAGATTAGATCTTAATCAGAAAGTGTCCTGTGTCCATCCAAATTAATGCTTGAGACAATAGCCTACAGCAAGATGTCAAAAGTATTTTTAATAAAGTTGTTTGAGGGATGCAACAACTGGCAACACAATTCTAAGCTGTGTCAGTGTGTTTACATCAGGCTAGTGGTCAGCAACACAGAATTGGGTGCAAAACAATACGTTTAATTTAATTAAAGAAAGGTTCAGGTCTGGGGGGGGGGGGGGGTGCAAGTGCAAGGTTAATTAACCCAAGTTCTTGTAAACAAACACTGACATCATATTGCTTTCACAGCTGGGGAAGCCACAATATAAAGAAATACATATATTTCCAATATGATGCTATCTTTTCACAATCCTTATTATATGCTGCTTATTATATTATAACAACTAATCATGGAAGAAAGAGTCCCCCAGTTACAGTAGTTTTCATCAATCTGAGCACAGTGATGCAATACTTCCATCATCTCTCTTTTGCTTAGGATATGTTTAAATATTTTAGCATAACCATCCCAACCCCCCTCCCCTGAGTGTGTAGAGGCAAGAGCTAAGTAAAAAATATATCTCTTATACATTTCAGAGACACTATGTTCAGTATATAGCCAACCATCTGTGAAAAATTCATAGCTGTAGGCTATCAGAACATGCCATTTAAGTAAGCAGTAAATATTCTATAGGCGACAATAGTGCAGTAGGCAGGGTACACAATATTGCAGACATGTAGCCTAAAGAATGGCAATTGTAACTGAATAGTATTCAACAGCATTTGCTGATTCTAAAATGTTCATCTCCTTAATGTTTACCATTCATATTGTATGGAATGCCTGTTGACTGAGTTAATCTATTGATTTTCTCATATCTCATTCCGTTTCATCCAATATTGTATAAATTAGCCGACCAAACAAACTAGTGCAGTTTTTACAAATACACAGGAAGTCATGCTCTCAGCTCAAAGCATGCCTTTTTCTGGGATGTGAGGGCTGTCAGGACAGATAATGTTGTGAAAAAAAACAGAGCATTTAACAGAGAAGCATAAATTATTCAGAGCTGGTTGGCAGGAGAAAGAGTGGGGGTTTGTAGTGATACTGTTTTGCTGGATATCTGATGATGATCTCTTGGTTTTCAATAGTTGAAGCCTCCTTTTTTACATATACTAACGGTTCTGCCAAGTCTGAATCTATATGGCACCAATATTACATTATAAATTAATATCTAGGGCTTAAGAGAGGGGAGAGAGAGAGAGAGAGAGAGAGAGAGAGAGAGAGAGAGAGAGAGAGAGAGAGAGAGAGAGAGAGAGATAAAGAGTTGGTGGGGGGAGAAAGAGAAAAGCAGAGAGAGAGAGATGTCTATGAGTGTGAATGAAGCGTATTGCTATGCCTCTATAGGTTCCCACGCAGGATCTCACGAGCTCAGATGCAATGAATTATAAAGGCATCATGCTCCCCAAAGGCTACGTGTGTGTGAACGTGAGTGTGCGTGTGTGCATGTGTGTGTGTGCATCCATGCCTGTGTGTGTGTGTGTGTGTGCACATGCCTCTGTGTGAGCGTGTTCTCCCAGTGCTCAGATCCCAATTAATACTTCATCCATCCATAAATAGTGGAGGGGGATTGGGACATGAGCCCAAAGCATTCAGACAGGTACTGTCAACAAGCTTCTGAACTGTCCCCGTGTACGGTAACCAACTCTGGCCTTTCATCCCAGTTAGGCATTAACATGCAAGGACAAAAAGCACCAGGCACAAGAAAGGAACCATGAAAGCCAAATGGAGCTTTGATCGTTGTGCCGACGATACATTACACTTGTCTCCTCTCCGACTCAAGAGGGATAGAGATGATGATGCATCAGGCAACTACAACAATGGAGCAGTCTGTGTAGTGATGTTGTCTAGGGTCAAAAGATACATTGTTTGTTTTTATGTGAGTTCTCAGTTGAGTGCACTTTCTGTTGTAATGGAGATTCATTTTTCTCTCCATCTCAATTTAAGGTTGTTTGTGTTACCTCTTGGCTTATCAGTGTGATAATTCATGTAGGCCTTTCAGCTCCCTCAGAGAACATTCAGCTAGTTCAGAAAACATTTAGCTCCCTTAGAAAATGTTCAGCTCCCTTAGAAAACATTCAGTTCCCTCAGAAAACATTCAGCTCCTTTAGAAAACATTCAGTTCCCTCAGAAAACATTCAGCTCCCTCAGAAAATGTTCAGCTCCCTCAGAAAACATTCAGCTCCCTTAGAAAACGTTCAGCTCCCTCAAAAATCATTCACTCCCTTAGAAAACATTCAGCTACAGTACAAGCACATCTACAGTTATCTGGAAATAACCGTGGAAACACCACTTTGTGCCTGCAAGGGGGCAAAACTTTGATTACTACTCCGATCAAATTATTACTTAGAGAACATATAATGAATCCCTCTGCAACACTAGGATCTCTTCTCAGATACAGTTGAATCGACAGTTGCTAGAGAGGGATGAGTGGGAGGTGGGGGAGGAGAGAGACTAGGGAGGAGACAAATTGGGAGTAGGGTCATTATGACCTGTGCAGGTGTGATTTCAAAGCTCTCTGATTACTTATGCATTCAGGAAACTGACGATTGGAGCAGGCCGCTTTGTCTCTGTGTCTTTGTAGTGCCCACTGCTATTGTCTCTCCACTCCCACACCAGATGACTACAATCCCCACGCTTCTAGAATCACCATTGTAACTTAGGATGCCTTATCAATATACTCCACATCAGGACCTGTCTGTATGATAGCAACAGGCCATCAGCAGAGACCAAACTAGTACACAGTTACCTCATGGAGATTCAGAGAATAATAATTTTACAGCAGTTGGGTAATACTCAATGAATATGTAGACTAGACTAGCTGATGCCTGATTACAATAGTATCTGTTAATTACTAGCTGATCCTTCCATCTCATCTCTGTGTCATTCAGTTCTCCTGGTTAGAAATTAGCATCACCCTTGGAATATATTATGGACAGACACAGATTTGAATGACTCATAGAAATGAGACTGCAGAAACCTGGTTCCATTTTGCATTTGAATCACAATCTCTCTCTCTCTCTAAATAAAAAAACTATTGGAAAATGATAATGGTGTATCTGTGATACACAGTCCTATATGTAGGTCTGTGAGAACCAGAGAAAGTGAGAAGTGCCTATGTGTAAGGGTTGGTGTGAGGTGTGACCCAGGTGTGGTGCAGGATATACAGTAGGCAGTAGGCAGAGATGGTGAAACAAGGACTGGTGGTCCCGATGCCAGAATACAAAATAAGTGTCAAAGGCTTTTATTGACAATTACATTAAGTTTATGCAAAGAGTCAATAGTCAAAGACCCTTCTTTTTCAAGACCTCTGCAATCTGCCCTGGCATGCCGTCAATTAACTTCTGGGCCACATCCTGACTGATGGCAGCCCATTCTTGCATAATCAATCCTTGAAGTTTGTCAGAATTTGTGGGTTTTTGTTTGTCCACCCGCCTCTTGAGGATCGACCACAAGTTCTCAATGGGATTAAGGTCTGGGGAGTTTCCTGGCCATGGACCCAAAATTTCGATGTTTTGTTCCCCGAGCCACTTAGTTATCTCTTTTGCCTTATGGCAAGGTGCTCCATCATGCTGGAAAAGGTATTGGTCATCACCAAACTGTTCTTGGATGGTTGGGAGAAGTTGCTCTCGGAGGAGGTGTTGGTACCATTCTTTATTCATGACTGTGTTCTTAGGCAAAATTGTGAGTGAGCCCACTCCCTTGGCTGAGAAGCAACCCCACACATGAATGGTCTCAGGATGCTTTACTGTTGGCATGACACAGGACTAATGGTAGCGGTCTTCTCCGGACAAGGTGTTTTCCGGATGCCCCAAACAATTGGAAAGGGGATTCATCAGAGAAAATTACTTTACCCCAGTCCTCAGCAGTCCAATCCCTGTACCTTTTGCAGAATATCAGTCTGTCCCTGATGTTTTTCCTGGAGAGAAGTGGCTTCTTTGCTGCCCTTCTTGACACCAGGCCATCCTCCAAAAGTATTTGCCTCACTGTGCGTGCAGAGGCACTCACACCTGCCTGCTGCCATTCCAGAGCAAGCTCTGCACTGGTGGTGCCCCGATCCCACAGCTGAATCAACTTTAGGAGACGGTCCTGGCGCTTGCTGGACTTTCTTGGGTGCCCTGACGCCTTCTTCACAACAATTGAACCTCTCTCCTTGAAGTTCTTGATGATCCGATAAATGGTTGATTTAGGTGCAATCTTACTAGCAGCAATATCCTTGCCTGTGAAGCCCTTTTTGTGCAAAGCAATGATGACGCACGTGTTTCCTTGCAGGTAACCATGGTTAACAGAGGAAGAACAATGATTTCAAGCACCACCCTCCTTTTAAAGCTTCCAGTGTGTTATTCTAACTCAATCAGCATGACAGAGTGATCTCCAGCCTTGTCCTCGTCAACATTCTCACCTGTGTTAATGAGAGAATCACTGACATGATGGCAGCTGGTCCATTTGTGGCAGGGCTGAAATGCAGTGGAAATGTTTTTTTGGCAAAGAGGGACTTTGCAATTAATTTCAATTAATCTGATCACTCTTCATGACATTCTGGAGTATATGCAAATTGCCATCATCAAAACTGAGGCAGCAGACTTTGTGAAAATTAGTTTTTGTGTCATTCTGAAAACTTTTGACCATGACTGTAGCAATCACAGATTGCTCCTTTAAGGTCTTTGTGAGAGGGTTTTACACTATATATACAAAAGTACGTG